GCAGGCGAAACGTCAGGAGAGAATGCCTCTAGACCATAGCCATATAGCCCGAAAAAACCTACAACAACCCACATTTAGGTAAGCTCGCTGGAAGCCGGAATTCGAGGGCACAACGCACTGCTTCGACAGTTCCACCTCTACGTTCTACCAGAAGCACGTGACTTTCTCCCTTCTTTTCTCCCTCGGCGGCGACCTTTGCCGGCTTGCCCGTGACGTCACAGCCGGGCGCGTGACGCCAGAAGGAGGCGCCAAGCGGAGGCCAGAACAACAACAACAAGAGTGGCAGCCGGGCTTTTTTCTGCGCGGAGAGAACGAGAATCCTTGAAAGCTGGGCAAGACAGCGAGGAGGCGTGGCCTGGCGAGCTTCTAAGCCACGCCCCTTTCCTCCCCTCAGAGGGGGGCGCGCGCTGGGAAGATGGCGGAGGCGGCGTGAAGAGAGAGAAGGAGGAGGAGGAATAGGAATGGAGGCGCTCCTTCCTCCTTAGCCTTTGGCACCTCCAGGGAATTGAGTCGGGGAGGCCTACCTGTCTCCCTTCAAGCCTTGCCCCGTTTCGTTTCCCTCACACCCGGCATTCCCTTGCCTTGTCGCCACCATGCCTTGGCCCTTCTCCGAATCCATCAAGAAGAGGGCCTGCCGGTACCTGCTGCAGAGGTACTTGGGCCACTTCCTCCAAGAGAAGCTGAGTCTGGAGCAGCTCACGCTGGATCTCTACCAAGGGACTGGCTCCTTGGCACAGGTGCCCCTGGATAAGTGGGTAAGTGCGCCTTTGCCCATTTCCCAGGCTTCCCTTCTGTCACTGCCAAGGGTCATGTTGCCATCAGGTCGCATTTCTTTGTCTCATTTGTCTCACTGTTTGCCAGCCCAATTGGAGTTCTCATTAGAACAGGCATGGGCAAACCTCAGCCCTCCAGGTGTTTTGGACTACAACTCCCACAATTCCTAACAGCCGGTATTTATCGTGCCAGGAGCAAACCAGAACACTACCTCGGAGGATACTTGCCATAGATGCAGGCGAAACATCAGGAGAGAATGCCTCTAGACCAGGGGTCCTCAAACTAAGGCCCGGGGGCCTGATATGGCCCTCCAAGGTCATTTACCCAGCCCTCACTCAGGGTCAACCTAAGTCTGAAATGACTTGAAAGCACACAACAACAACAGCAATAATCCTATCTCATCAGCCAAAAACAGGCCCACACTTCCCATTGAAATACTGATGAGTTTATATTTGTTAAAATTGTTCTTAATTTTTAATTATTGCATTGTTTTTAAGTGTTTTTGCACTACAAATAAGATATGTGCAGTGTGCATAGGAATTCATTCATGTTTTTTTCAAATTATAATCCGGCCCTTCAACAGTTTGAGGGACTGTGACCTGGCCCTCTGTTTAAAAAGTTTGAGGAACCCTGATCTAGACCATGGCCATATAGCCCGAAAAAACATAAAACAACCCAGTGTTTCYGGCCATGAAAGCCTTTGACAATACATCAAACCAAAATAGTTGTATTGCATTAAAAAAACAAACAAACAAAACACAAAGTTTGCAGACTTGGTATTCTATTAAATGTCCTTTGACCACTTGGAGTGCCTCTGGTGTTGGTGTAAGAAGGTCCTCCATTGTGCATGTGGCAGGGCTCAGGTTGCATTGTAGTAGGTGGTAGGGGGGAGTCTCTCATTTGGTATCAGCCATTGATTGAGGTTCTGGGTTTGAGCCTGCCACTTTTGGACTCTTGCTTGCTGGGGCATTCCGCGAGTGTCTCTGTAGATCTTAGAAAACTATTTCTTGATTTAAGTTGTTGGCGTGCTGGCTGATACCCAAACGGGGTCGGCTGGAGATGTCACTGCCAGGGCGCAGTCTGTTCAGCGCCTTCCAAGTCACCCAGTTTTCTCTGTGCCCAGGGAGGAGTCTCTCATTTGGTATCAGCCATTGATTGAGGTTCTGGGTTTGAGCCTGCCACTTTTGGACTCGCTTGCTGAGGTGTTCCAGCAAGTGTCTCTGTAGATCTTAGAAAACTATTTCTTGATTTAAGTTGTTGGCGTGCTGGCTGATACCCAAATGGGGTGGGGTGGAGATGTTACTGCCTTGGTCCTTTCACTATTGGCTGCTACTCCCTGGCGGATGTCAGGTGGTGCAGTACCAGCTCAACAGTGTAATTTCTCCAGTGGTGTATGGTGCAGATACCCCGTGATAATGCGGTATGTTTCATTAAGAGCCACATCCAGTGTTTTAGCGTGGTGAGATGTGTACCACTCTGGGCATACATACTCAGCAGCAGAGTAGCATAGCGCAAGGACAGTTGTCTTCACAGTATCTGTAGGCTGTTAGGAATTGTGGGAGTTGAAGTCCAAAATACCTGGAGGGCCAAAGTTTGCCCATGCCTGCAATAGAATCTCGATGCAATTCTAGACTGCCTAAATAGGAGTATGGTCTCAAGATTGTAGTAAAGGTTTCCCTAGACATTAACTCTAGTCGTTTCTGACTCTGGGGTGGTGCTCAACTCTATTTCTAAGCCGAAGAGCTGGCGTTGTCTGTAGACGCCTCCAAGGTCATGTGGCCGGCCTAACTCTTCCAGTCAGGCCCTATATCCCAGGATCTGAGCCCAAGTTTAAACTTGATTGTATGAGTCTGCACTGCCAGATAATCTGGGATAAACAGAAGATCTCTTTGACAGTGGCAGAGGCTCAATGGATATCTGGCAGCGGTGCTTTGGTTGTATTTTCCTGCACGGCAGAATGGGGTTGGACTGGATGGTCCTTGTGGTCTCTTCCAACTATGATTCTATGAATTGGGAAAGCCCTTTTTTGGTTTTGACAGGTGGATTCCAGCCATTTGTTTTGATTTCCTTTCTTCTGACTCAGCTGCTATTAGTCATCACTATGACAGGGTTTTTTTTGTTATAAAAAAACACCCTCAAGTTTCATATTATACACAATATAATAGTTACTAATCACAGCCTAAAATTATGCATCAATAATTAAATAAATCCTTTAGAAACACTGGCAAACTCTGAAGTCTGAAAACATTTTTGTACACAGTTAAATGTATTGATCATTGAGACTGTGAGCAAAGAGGTCGGGACAGTAATTTCAGTGAAAAACTTTTAAAAGTATAGGACAGTGTCTTTTTCTATGAACCTGGTAGACATTTGTGATTTACTGGGGAGGACCTTCTCTCTGTCCCACCATCCGTTCAAGTGGGTTTGGTGGGAACATGGGAGATGACCTTTCTGGTAGCTGTTCCCAGTCTGTGGAGCTCCCTCCCAAGAGAGACCAGGATGGCCCCATCCCTGCTGGCCTTCCATAAACAGATGAAGATCTTCCTCTGCCAATAGACATTTAGGGAAGATTAAAGGGCATACTGCTGGGGAAGTGTGTGTGGGATTCGGGAGAGGGGGGTGATTGTGAGTTTTAAAGGCTATTATAAGTGTATTTATTTATTTATTTATTTACATTATTTATATCCCGCCCATATCAGCTCGAGGCGACTCAGGGCGGTCTACATATCAGCGCAATTCGATGCCATCAATACATACATTTTAAAAGCAAAAACAATTAAAGTGCATTTAAACAAAGACAGTGCATAATTTATCACATTTTACTGTGTTTTTACCTTAATCCACACTGTATTATTTAATTGTTTTTAATTGTATTGTCCTTTTTAAACTCTGAGCTAAATGTGGGATTGTTAACCTCCTTGAGAAAGATGGAGTATGGATACAGTAGGTAAGTAAATAAATAATATTGTGTAGCTTTTGAGCAGGTAGGTGACATTTGTTCTAATTTAAATATTTTCTGACAGGCTTTGTTTCTTTTAATAAGTTTACTTAGGATAGTATTTTAAAAAAACCCAGTTCTGCTTTAAGCCTATCTTAGTGGCAAGAATCAATTTTAAAGTATACCTCAAAGTTATTGAAACTGAAGACACTCTAAACTGTAAGAAGAAAATTGTAGTAGGACTATTGGGATGAAGGAGAGACAGACTACTCACTGATTTAATTCCATTCTCTGTGATGCATGTTCATTTTCCATTCCACTATCAGTCATATCTGCTGTGATGGCTTAGGTGGATACTTCCCATCATTGCATTACAGAGTTACCGTTAGAATATTGTGGTTTCCTCACTTGCTCTCTAATACATCAAAGCACTGACATCAGTGAATAGTGTATTGTGATCACATTGTTTCAACTCAAACTGCTAGAAGTGATTATTAATAAGAGTAGGCACCAGCAGGTTGGTTGTTTTACTGCCAGTTATAGTAAAAAAAACAAAACAAAACAGATGTCCTTTGTTATATGAGGCAATGCTGAGTCAACCTACATTTTGGAACCTGCCTTTTTAGCACCCTCATTCTGAGTCCATAATAATTGCTTCATGACTAAGCTGGTTATATATTTGAGAATGTAGTATTTAAATAATGAAGTGTGTAGCAGTGTGGTACTATCCGCAGTGGTGGAAGTGCATGCTACTGTGAGGCAAGAGGCTCAGCTGCTGGTAGGACTGCTGCTAAACCAGACTAAATGTGCAAAATATCTACTGGGCAACAGCAGTGGTGTGGGAGGATCTCTCACGGAGAATGACATTGGCACTTAACACTTGTTAGTACTTCACAGAAGGAGACAAGCTACACCCACTTTCAATGTTTTTTACCTTTATAAGACAGTCCAAAATTATAGAAGATATAGTACTAGAAGAAGAGACTCTCAAGTTGGTTGGCACTCAGTGAACTACTGGGATAGAGCAGAAAACAATGAGTGGCACTGTGGTAAATGATTCAATTGGACTCAAGACAAATAGATGTTCAGCTCAGTGGTGAAAAGAAAAGAAAAGAAGTAATGTAGCAAAAGCAGTCAGAGAACATAGTTCAAAGCCTGAGCAAATCATATCAATACTTTAGGAAAACCAACCACAATTCAAGTTTATTCTCCAGTTACAGAGTCAGGAAAAAAAAAAGAATATGAAAGATTCTATGCTGGAATGCAGAGGAAATTGATCACACACCAAAACAGGACTTCTTATTAATCACAGGTGATTCAAATTCAAATGTAAAAGTACAGTAGATCCAAAGATTGTAGGAAAAATTGGCTAATAATCAAGGAATGAAGCAGGAAAGCATCTGATTGAATTGTGCTAGAGACCAACAGTTTGTTCATCCCAAGCACATTATTCAAGTGACCATTGAGGTGGCAGTATAGACAGACATCATTTGGTAGCCAATAACTGCATAATTGGAAGCAAAAGATGGAGAAGCTCAATTCTCTCAGCAAAAACAAGATCAGGAACAATTAATACAAAAATAGAGTAAATCTAAAGAAGAACATAATGACAAAATACAATCTGAAAAACATCCCCATAGAATTGATATATAATATGAAAATTGATTGGCACTTCTAGGCCTATTTGACTAGGGACCAGAAGAACCTTGAGATGAACTCATAAATATTATCAAGGAGGTATAGAAAAACTATATGCAGCTAAAAAGAAAGAAGACCCTCAAGGCTGCATTACTGAAGGATACACGCATTCGGGGTAGTTAGAGCCAAGAGTCTACTTAACCTGAACAGGTCTATTGATGATAGAGTGACATGGAGGTCTCTCATTCATAGAATCATAGAATCAAAGAGTTGGAAGAGACCTCATGGGCCATCCAGTCCAACCCCCTACCAAGAAGCAGGAATATTGCATTCAAATCACCCCTGACAGATGGCCATCCAGCCTGGGGACACTATACATTAAAGCAGACATGACAACAGTTAACAATAATAACAGTAAGCATAAAGAAGTGACACTGTTCCTTTATTGACTTATTTGATGACTTCTTTCTAGAAAAGATACTTCATGCTTGTTCTGGCCTATAGTCCATTATGCAGGTAATAAAAATGAGAGTGCTCCATTACATCTCTGCTGGAGTATAACTCTGTATAGGATGGGGAATAGTGGAACTGCTGCCAAACAAGCTAGGTGGTTGATCAAGCCATAGGAGCATATTATGGCAGTGTTGCTCTTAGTTTGCTTTTAAGCAAAGTAAGAATTTAGTCTTTGTCTTTGACCATTAATTTTTTTTTTCAGGTCTGTCTATATGAACACGTCCTTAATGATATTTTTTTTAATCTGAGGCCTTTTTCTATGTGAGGCTTCCTTCAGGAGTGTGCCTGAGAGCTTCTACCATGAATAGCTTTTCTGTGGAGGCACCCCAGCTATGGAACATCTTTATTTGCTATTGGTTTTGCTGTTAGTTAGAAATTACAATATAGTTAAGATCCAGTAGATATACTAGTGTAACCTTCTGCCAGTACTGGTTTGTAAGGGGAAATGTGGAGGCTCCCATGCATAGCTGTGTCCACCGCCCTCCTAAGACCACTGATGAGCCTGGAGCCATCTAACTGCCTTCTCACAACCAGGAGGAAGGCAGAGTAAGGGCCATTCCCTGTTCCCCCAATAAAAGTGCAAAGCCCATGTCTGCTATTTTATTGTTATAATAACTTCTGAGATTCTCTATGTTTTTGTTTGTATTGTTCTAATTATTTTTTATTTTCATAATGACAATTTGCTCTTTTAAATAGATTTTCCCACCTGTTAACCCAAGGTTTATTTCCCATAACTTTTAATGTTTTCGTGTCTAGTTTTATAAGTTTTTTTTCTGTTTCATGGGTGTCATCATATAGTAATTGTGAGTCAGAATATATATTCTGACAAGCAAGCAGTGAAACAAAATGTTCAGTAGTGACCTATCACTTTCGTAATGCCATGAGGCAGCCATTGTTTGGTGAATGATTTATATAAATCTTCCATATGTTTTCTGTTTAAACATATCTGTTTCTGTATATTCTAATTGATGCTTTTGTTTTTGATCCAAGTTGCTCTTCTGGAGCAGAGTGGCTTCACTGTGTCCAAATGCTATGTTAGAAAGGACTGTAGAAATAGAAACATTTTTGCAAGAAATAGGAGCATTTTTAGCACTTCCAGGCTCAAAGTACCTTAAATCATTTGAGAAATACTGTACACACATGCTTTCAACATACAGTCTGAAGCCTGTTACTGTCTCAACTACAGTAGAACCGACCAGTCATTGGCAACTTACTTGATAAGACAACTTCCATTAGTTTCAGTAGATCTGCTGTAGTTGGAACTAACACTTGGATTTAATCCCCCATTTCACAGTAAATCTAAACAGTGTTGCCTTTCTACAGGATTTGTTTTTAAGGTTTTTCAAACATTTGCAATGGTTGATGCAACTTTATTACCATGAATAATTTCCCAGCCTATTTCAAAAGCGATACACAGAATAACATGCAACTAAATAAGCATAAATCCTTTTTATTTGTCATAATGCAGGGCAGTTACAATAGGCTATGGTTAATTGCTTGTTTAAATTGTAATGAACATTTTCCACAAGCATTTTGCCTGCTACATTAATCTTTGCTTTAGCCACAGTCAAAATGTAATTGTGGTAACACTTGAATATGTTGTATTAGTTAATTGAGACTCAATTGAAACTGGATGTAGTTTAACAAAATATATATTTTTGGAGTGACTATGATAATATGAGACACTTGTATACCCACTGTATACTACAGTGGTTCCTGGGCCACGGGACCTAAAATCAGGTTTGTGAGACATGCGGATAATAACACATCCCAACCAAAAATATGTTTTGGTGTCTTCGTTTTTAGGCCTGTTTCTGGGGTTATTTGGGGTGCTGATTTAGAAAATTGCATTGGATAGACTGCAACAGCTCTAGATTAAATACGGTTTTCTTTGGGCGAGCAGATGGCAACTACTGGATGGCATATGTTCTGTATCAGAAACTAGCATTGATGTGGTCTATCCATTGCAGTTTTCTGAGTCAGCATCCCAAAAAACCAAACCAAATATAAAATTAACAAAAAATGATTCGTAACTCTTTTGGAGAATGATCCCTAGTCAAAGTGGTCAATGGCCAAGTGGTCCATGGTCAAAAAAAGTTTGAAAAGTGCTGGTATACTATATTGAGTTATCTCTCTTGTGCAGATTATTGTATGATCAAATTCCTAGATCTTTATTGGAATTGGAAATTGCTGTTCTCTTTTAGATTCATTTTGAGAAATTGCTTGACTTAACATGTACCATTGAAGGGAGCTTGCTTTATTTTTGGACATTTTAATTATGTAACAGATATGAGGGAAACTGAACAAGTTCTGCTTATGTTGCTATACAAATTTTGTCTGTTTTGTCTCCTTGATTTAGAGTCTTAATGAGATTCTAGAATCAGCGGATGCTCCTCTGGAAGTCACCGAGGGATTTATACAGTCAATTTCTCTATCCATTCCCTGGGGCTCTCTCCTTCAAGATAATTGTGCACTTGAGGTGAAAGGTTTAGAAATGATCTTCAGACCAAGGCCTCGTCTAGGTAAATCTATTAAATAACAATTGCTTGCTATTGTTATATCCCTTCTACTTTATCTAGCTTTATATTCTTTATTTTGTCATTGTTGCTGTGCCCATTTAGATAAATTATGAAAATGAATGCCTATTAGAGGTATCCTTGCACACATGAAGTTTTGGACCGTATTTACTTGGAGGCTCCAGTATAATTGAAATACACTGTGTCTTCTGTATGCTTACCTGTTGAAATGACATGAGGGGGAGACATTTCATTAAGTGACATGCAGATACTGCAGCTATGTTGTCTGGTCTACCTGTGTTGCACCATTTAAACAGTATGGGTAAATCACACACACTACCCGCATGTTAAAATATATTTATACAAATAATCTTCTTCATCATTGCATTCCACTTCTTAAATTTTTCTGCTACTGGATTTCTGTAAGTTTTCTGGGCCATGTTCCAGAAGCATTCTCTCCTGATGTTTCACCTGCATCTATGGCAGGCATCTCCAGAGGTTGTGAGGTCTGTTGGAAACTAGGCAAGTGGGGTTTATATATCTATGGAATGTCCAGGGTGAGAGAAAGAACTCATGTCTGTTTGAGGCAAGGGTTAATGTTGCAATTGATCACCTTTATTAGCATTTAATAGCCTTGCATCTTCAAAGCCTGGCTGCTTCCTGCCTGGGGGAATCCTTTGTTGGGAGGTGTTAGCTGGCCCTGATTGTTTCCTGTCTGGAATTCCCTGTTTTCTGTGTGTTGTTCTTTATTTATTGTCCTGATTCTAGAGTTTAATACTGGTAGCCAGATTTTGTTCATTTTCATGGTTTCCTTCTTTCTCTTAAAATTGTCCACATGCTTGTAGATTTCAGTGGTTTCTCTGTGTAGTCTGACATGGCGGCTGTTAGAGTGGTCCAGCATTTCTGTGTTCTCAAATAATATGCTGTGTCCAGGTTGGTTCATCAAGTGCCTGCTATAGATGTAGGTGAAATTTCAGGAGAAGATGCTTCTGAAACATGGCCACACAGCACGTAAAACTCACAGCAAACCAGTGATTCTGGCTATGAAAGCCTTTAACAACACTTTTCTGCTACACTGTTATGTATTGGATCATTTCCCCCCAGAAACCTGTAGGAGAAAATAATGAAAGAGACAGCAGCATATAATCAACACATGGCCATTTCTGTTTATTTTATATATTTCCCTTTCTCCAGTGAAGACAACTAACAGCATATTTAGAAAATAGGTATATTTAAAAGCAAAATAAGTTACAATAGCAAAAGATATGTCATACCAAAACAGCAATTGAATTAAGTAAACATTTAAAAGCACATGAAAAAGAACAAGAGGGAGTAAATCCCCCTCCTTTTAAAAGCTTATTCCTCAGTCAGCCAGTTTCCAGAAACTATCCTGAAAAAAAAAAGGATTTTGACAGCTATTGATAGCATAAGAGGAAGGAACTAACATAGTGTCTTTTGAAAGGGAAGTCCCATAACATGAAAATGGCACAAGGATTGTTATCTTTCATGTCTTTACCAAGCTGATGAACCTGAGAGGGTGTTGGGATTAAAAGAAACATCTAAAAGATTGGAAGATTTGGGCAGTTTTGAATAAACTTTTAGATTTTAGATTTCCAAGAACATGAATAGTTGGTGAATTCACCTAAACTTTACTATCCAAGCTCAGGGTTGTCTAGAAGTACCTCCAAGCACTATACCTGAAATTTCAGATGAAATCTAACTCCATCCAGCACAGGCTGAATCCCTGCTCCCTGATCTTCATTTTTTGATAACTGGCTTATGTGAGGAATAACCTGGACCCCAGTTATGTTGGACTTTATACAACACAACAAGCATTCTGAATTGTGTTCAGACACAGACTGATAGATGGTGAAAATATTGTAATAAGGAATTTGTGTTCTCCTTCTAAGTAGCCACAGTTATATATAGCTGTATAAAAATACTGCTGCTGAAACATTTCAAATATAAAGGAGGATAAATGTAGAAAAAAGTGCTTATATCCCCAAATCTCATACACAGACACAGTTCTCATGTTTCTATGCACAGGTTGTACTTTTGGTTCTTCTAAAGGAGATTCCTGTATGGATATACTTTGTTTTTAAAGCCTGTTAATGACAAAACACTTGGGGCTTATTATTATTTTTTTGTAGCTTCTGGTTCAGAGCCCATGTATTGGTCAAGTTTTATGACAAGTAGTATGCAGCTTGCAAAAGAATGTCTTAGCCAAAAACTGACAGATGAACAAGGAGAAGGGTCACAGCCTTTTGAAGGACTTGAGAAGTTTGCTGAAACCATTGAAACAGGTACTATTTATTTTATATACAGCAGAGCAATACAAAGTTAAAGTTTGGATATAAAGTTTGGATATAGTTTGTAAATTGAATGACTATGTGTTATACTTTTCAGTTTGGAAATGCTAATTTCTAATGCTATCAACCTATTTGATAAAACCAACTAATTTTATGCATACAACTTAACCTTAATAGTATATACTAAGAAATAATTCCCTGTTTATAGATGTGAAGTTAGACAATTGAGTCATACTTTAGCTCTATGTGAATATCAATAAAGCTCTTCCATACTGCCCTATATCCCAGGATCTGATCCCAGATTATTTGCTTATCTCAGATTATCTGGCAGTGGAGACTCACATAATCAACTTCAAAGCAGATAACCTGAGATCAGGTCCCAGAATATAGGACAGTGTAGAAGAGGCCCGAGTTCCCCATACCTCGGAGTCTCATGCATGCACCATTATAGAGTAACCATTATATAGAAGGAGAAACCAGTATGCTTACTTCATGTCATGATTCTTTTCAAGATATCCCTGCTCCCAGAAAGAAAGGGTAGACTGGGTAGTTAGCATGAGCAGCACTTAGCAGCAGCCTCTTCTGGTGGGATGATTTGTGGAGAATTAGGCAGCAAAACAGAAAGAGGATTTTCACTTTAATAGGACAGGTGTATTAGTAGCTCAGTCACTCAATGTAATATGTATAGATTCTTCATTTGTGTGTGTGACCTCATCTCCTTTTTTGGGTTTCTTATAGTTTTAAGAAGAGTCAAAGTCAACTTTTTAGATACTGTTCTGAGAATTGAGCATGTGCCAGATAATTCTAAAAGCGGAACAGCACTTGAAATTCACATTGAGAAGTAAGTAGCATGCCTCTGCCCTCCCTTCCCTTTTCAAGTGAAGAATAATTGGTACTGCATATGAGATCTTATGATACAAGTGCTGCTGAACTCTATGCTAACTGGAATCTGACAGCTTCAAGGGAAGCAGACTGTCTAGAAGTTGTCATCTAAAATCATCAGTGTGTCTTTTCAGGAATATAAATACAGCTAGAGATGCAATGTTAATTTTCAAAAGTGTAGTATTTCCTTCAGTTCTTATTGTATTCCTTTCCCCCCATCTTTGTAGAACAATGTATTGTGATGAAACTGCTGATGAATGCTCTGGAATTAATGTCCATCAGCCCACTGCTTTTGCTCACAAATTGCTGCAGCTCTCAGGTGTTTCTTTCTTCTGGGATGAATTTCCAGCATCAGCAAAATCCTCACCTGTGTGTTCGGCTACACAGTTGGTAATTTTTTTTATCTGTATATTGCATATACACAGTTGATAATTTCTAGACCATGTTAAGCTATTTTCATGTATTCATTCCAGTTGTGACAGAGGTACCTGTATATTTTTATGTTCATTTTTTATGTTGAATATTTGAGATTCTAGTTCTGTTAGTGCTAAAATGGGCAAGGTTTTTAACATCAGTCAATTTTTTCCCAGATACATTTCAATAAGATCACCTGATTTAGTTAATATGATGTGGGTTTGTTTGTGGTAAATTCGTGTTCAGATTGCCATTCTGCCATAGCCAACCAGTGAGCAACAGGGAATCTACTCTAAATCAAAGTGTTGCTGCAAGTTTAACTACTCTGAGCATCTTGGGGGAAAGCAATATATAAATGTAACACAAGATCAATGCAGAAAGTTCAACATGTTACTTTGATGTATAGATATCCAAAGTGATGCTATACTAAAATTGATTATGCTCCTTCAGCTCATAATTTGTATCCTACATGGTTTTCCAGTCTTGCTATGAAGGCAAGATCACCCTATACTACTAAAATCTGGATACATCACAGTGTTACAATCCCCTCTGTCTTTGGGTTACATACTGTGGGCTTATTAGAGTTATGGCTGAATTGTTTATTACCTGCACATATATCCTGATTCTTGTTGTGTGTAGCCAAGATAACGTGCAGACTTTTGTTAATTGCATAACAATTAACCCTTTCCTCCTAATTTATTTTAAAGGTAACTGAACCTAAACTTTCACCAAGCTGGAACCCTAAAATCGTGTATGAGCCACACCCACAGTTAGCAAGAAATGTGCCAGAGGTTTCTCCTTCTGATCCTGTACAGATATGTAGGTTGATTGGAAAGATGGAACTCAGCCTTACATTAAAGCAAAATGAAGTGCTTCCAGGAGCAAAGGTTAGTTGTTGCTTCCTGTGTGTCAAGTAAGGTGACATTTAGATTGTTAGTATTGACATTTGGTTCTAGATACAAATTGTAGGCATTGTGTCTTCTCTTCCCTGTGTGTGTTACTCCTTGGTTTAATGTTGATATCTCCTCTTTCCCCTTTCCTGACTCTAACTATGGTGGACAATACAAAGGAAATTTCTAGTTGCTGCCCACATACTCCAGAACAGTAAAACAGTTCTAAATTATCTCACCCTTCTTTGCTGGATGGTCCCCAGAAAGCCTTTTTTGTTAAATAGTTCTTTCCAAGCCTCCCACTTTCCTAGTAATTCCCAATAGACATAATCAATAACCATTGTTTGGTGCTGCACACTGGGTTTTTCCCCTCCATATTTCCTGAATAAACAGTCAGATAAATGTGGAGATGTCAAATAACTTGCATAGATACCAACATTTAAGGCATTGTGTTAATATCCTATTTAAAAACATTGTATGTGATGAGATGTGATTGGTTTCTGTTTGAATCCTGTATCCCAATAGTATTTACTGAAGAGTTCTAATATGAATATGAAATTAAAATCAGGCATGAAATGGTTGATGATGAGGTTTTGATAATGAGATTGTACATTGGTTCTTAACCCTACAATTCCCAGAAATCCCAGCCAGTTTGCCAGCTGTTAGGATTTCTGGGAGTTGAAGGCCAAAACATCTGAAAACCCACAGATTGAGAACCACTGTTTTAAGTGAAAATTTGTACCATTTGTGTGTATCCTTAAAACTTTTAATTTTTCTTCTTAGTTGGATGTAGACGGACAGATAGATTCTATTCACCTGTTCCTGTCACCCAGACAGGTGCATCTTTTGCTGGACATGTTAGCAGCTATTGCTGGGCCAGGCAAGTAAAAACTGCTTTGCACTATTGCTAAGGTTTTAAATAATTCCTAGATCCAGGAAATTCAATGACACAATCAAGTTGAGAACTTAACTCTGAAATTGGTAGTTAAGTGCATGGCTTAAGTTTGTCCCGTTCAAATACAAGGGATTTAGAATTATCTGCCTTTGGTTGGATTGTGTTTCAAAATATGAATGCTTTTATTTGCATTTTAGTATACTCTGAACCAAAACAGTGTTGGAGGCAGGGGGAGAAACTTTACTGTATTGGTTGGTAAGAGGTTTTGTTTTTTTTTTGAAAAAAAAATCTGCTGAATGCAAGTTTAGGATTGCTAAAGAGGATTTTTTATCTTTATTGCTGCAGAATCAGTCATATAATGTCCCAGATAAGAAAATGATAATTCCCTTGTTATGTGTCTTTGTGTTAGTTTACAAACTGATTTCTGTTGGGGGAAGCAACCTTCTCAAACCTCCTCTCTATCATGTTTGTCTGTTTTGTAATGTGTCATTTTATAACCTGAAGTATATGTCCTATTTGATTTGCAGTTTTCTTATCTCTATGTACCTAAAGCAATGGGAGGGGCTGCAAGTCACCTGACTGACTGACAGTTTAAAATGTTCAGATTTAAACAGGATGACAGTTAGGAAATGTCAGTTGAGGAATGATTGTTAGAGAAGTGTGCTGGTTTTTGTATGAACTTGAATATAGAAGTCTGTAGGAGTGCAGAAGCTCATGTTCGGAAGTTAGAAACTGTTGAGGTTTGAAAGTAAACTCTGAGAGCTGTATATAGCAACATAGTTTATGAAGAAAGTGTTAAAGTTTATAAGTTCAAGATACAAACTCTCTGAAATGTTACTGAAGTTTTTAACCCTTGACAAAAAATGTATCTGTATCTTTAAATACATGAAGTTTCAGTAAACAAAACTTGTTACCTTTAAAAGAAGTCTGCTTGCATCATTGACTGCTGAAAGCATGAAACAGAAACAAAATATTTGCATCCCCAGCAATCATCCATTACTAAGTAAACTAAAAGAACACCTCCATAATTGCTACCCCAATTAGGTTGTGATCCTAACTGTTCATGATCTATACCCTGATGGTCAGTGATCCTAACAGTGACCCATTATCCCCAATAGGTTATGGCATACATCTTCCTTTATTTTGAGAAATAACCATGTGACCTTTGGTAAAGTCTAATTTGGAAGGGGAAAAAAGTACTAAAATAGCTACATTACCTCTAAATAACATTACTACACTTGTCTTTATTAAGTTAAAGTTTTTGTATTCAAATAACAGGATATTAGAAATATGCGTTATGAACTGAAGAAACTAAAGTAGATAAGAGAAGAAAAACGCTGTATTTGCTGGAACGAGGGAATTGAAACAGATATCATGTTTGCATATCCTGTGTTTGACTACAGAGAATCCTAGCAGAATTCAGTTATCTAATAAAGATAGGAAAAATCGACCAATGCAACAGGAAGATGAATATCGGATCCAGATGGAGCTCAACCGCTACTTAAGGAAAGAAATTTCTCCAGTAGGTATACAATGCGATCGAAGCTTTTGTGAGACGGAGACAGCCAGAACTCCTTCAAGTCGTGGTGAGCCCCTACTTCACAATCCTAGGAAATGTACAAGTGGCTGAATATTTAGTAAACCATATGTCAACAATTGTCTGCCCATGATTACACCCTAAACTGAGATGTAAATTCTGATCATGTTTAATCAAAACAAAGAATTTATGAGAGAGTTATGGAGTTAGTCATTTTTTCTTGATTTCATCTGAGATGCAAAAGTGTTAGATAGATTCTCAGAATTGTTTCTTGTATTACCAATATAAACTAGACAGTATTTGAGGGGTTAAAATAACTTGAACTTAACTTTAACTTCTGTATTCCTCTCCTGCTCTATCTCACCCTGACAAGGACTCAGAGTGGCTTACAGTTTGGTAGTGTTGCTACTCTACCCAATATGGTTGTTCAGTTGTTTTGTGAGATACTTTGTAATGCCTGCCCAGACAAATCTGTGCAAATTTGATGTCCTTTATTTTTTGAAAACAGGTATAGTCAAACTGCACATTACCTTAGTCATTTGGTCCATTGGCTTTTCATAAAAAAACATTTATTTATTTATTTAGAACATTTATACCCTGTCCTTCTCAACCTCCAAAGATGGACTCAGAATGGCTTCCAACAGGCAACTATTCAATGCCGAAACAAATAACAACATAAAATACAATTAGCATACATTAAAAACAGTTATAAATATACATTAAAACAGTTTGCCAGTTCAAATCGTCATCCAAATCAGTCCATTGCAGTCCACTAAAACCTTATCTTCACCAGTAAATCAGTCTATTTTGCAAATGCTTGATCCTACAACCAGGATTTGAGTTTCTTCTGGAAGATCGGGAGGGATGGGGCAGATCTAATCTCATAAGAGAGGGAGATCCACAGCCAAGGGGCCACCACAGAGAAGGCCCTGTCTTTCGTTCCCACCAAATGCAACTGCAATGGTGGTGGGACCGAGAGCAGGGCCTCACCGGATGATCTTAAGGTCCTTGGTGGTTCGTATAGAGAGATGCATTCGGACAGGTAAACTGGGCTGGAACCGTTTAGGGCTTAAGTCCAGCACTTTGAATTGTGCCTGGAAGCTAATAGGCAGCCAGTGGAGCTGGCGTAACAGGGGAGTTTTACACTTCCTGTACCCCTCTCCCGTGAGCCTCTTGGCCACCAAGCATTGGACTAGCTGAAGCTTCTGAGCAGTCTTCAGAGGCAACCCCATGTAGACTGTGTTGCAGTAATCTATTCAGGGTGTAACCAGAGTGTGTACCACTGTGGTTAATGCAACCTCCCAAGATACAAGAGCAGTTTTACAGCTTGCTTTTGTGTACTTCAGTTAATAGTAACATTTTCATTGAAAACCATTAATGCAACCTATATTTTTTATTTAATCTTAGAAGAAGAAGTTTTCTTTTCAATGGCTGACATGGAGATGTCTCATAGTCTTTCCTCTTTGCCACCCCTTGGAGACCCACCAACTATGGATTTAGAACTTTCTGTAAATAGTACATACGCTGCAACTCCATCAGAATCTCCACTTGGTACTACAGTGGTAAGTTCATTTTATTTCTGCTTTATTTATTATTTATACAAATAATCCTCAAGCAGGGCTTTTAAATGCTAAAACAGAATCATCATCACCATCACCAACTTATTTATACTCCTCCCCATCTCCCTGAAAGGACTTGGGGCAGCTTACAACATAAACACATACGATGAATAATATATACAAAGTAAAAATAAAACAGATAATAGCATGGCAAATCAGTGGATAAAAATGAGTATAGATACACAGTTAAATAGCAGAGCAACACAAACTTTGAGTGAATTTCAGTAGGTCTTCAGTCCATAACAAAAGGTTGATATAAAGAAGTTATAAGACTCAGTTTTATAAATGTACTGGTATTGAGGAGATTTCATCGTCAGTATGCCTGTATGAGAACTCTGGGAATTTGAATTCCTTCAAGTTCTACTTCGTAATATACAAGCAGGTGAAATGCTCCAGTTACTAAGCCATGTAGGGCTCTGCATGACTATATAACCACTTTGAATGTGGTTTGGTAATATATCAGCAATCAGTGGAATGCTTTCAAAATTTATGTAATATGTTTCTGACAGGAAACTGAAGGCATAGGTAAACAGAAAAACAATATCCAATTAATTGTATGTACTGATGGAGTAGCAGGGCATGGGAATAAGGGAGTTAAATCAAAGCCTTCACATAAGTCATTTTACAGCTATAGAGAAGAAGTGGCCAGTTGCTACTATAAGACAGTGATAACCTTCTGAAGTCTTTGAAGAGGGAATTACCCCTCAAGTATCCCATAATACCAACTGGAGCAGTGGTAGCTTTATAAACATTTTCTATAAACATTCTCAAATCCACAATTACTGACTAGTAATAGAAAGTGAAAATAGACTTCCAGTCACATCAGAGATTGGTATTTGTGAGTGGATTTTAGCAAAATAAAATATGGAGATAGTACTGTAAAACATTAAACGTTAGATGCAATGCAATATAACAGTAATATGGCAAAGTGTAACTGTTAGAATGTATAACAAAGACATTTTAAGCCAATTTTAAGCCAGTTGACAAATGTTGGCTAAATATAATCATGGCTGTATTGTTATTTTAGCAGCAACCAGTGTGGGGGGGATTTCTTGAACAACACAAAGAGGAGCCACCACAACTAAGAAGCTCACCATTTAACCCCAGTGTTATCCACCCAACCCCTCTACGAAGGACTTGTAAGTGTTTAAAAGGAGTAGTTCCGCATGTATGTTTCACAGAGTAGAATTTTGTGATACTCAACAGATACATTAACCTCACACAGTATTTTTGTCTTACTTTTCACATTGTGGTTAGCACAACATATGATGTGGTGTATGAGGAACTTCAGTGGCTCTGGTTTAAAAACACAATAATTTTGTGAGCAAAAGACAATTTAAATGGCAAATCAGTATTAATCTAGCTTATTCCCTTTTCTACTGTTGTTATTTCAGATAGTCTTATGGTCTTAAAACCTGACCTATGGATGTGACTGTTGGCAGTTATCAAAAGCCTCTGGCACTTATTTGGACCAGGAAGAGACATTGGCTTGTTAAGTGCCAACAAGCCAAATTAGACTTATAGCAATCTTATGAACAAGAGACCTCAAACGCATCCCATTATTAACAGTTCTGCTCACATCTTGCTCATTCAGGGCTGTAACATTCTTGATTGAGTCTTCCATCTGTAATATGATCTTCCCTTTTTACTTCAACCTTATTAAATATTATTGTCTAGTCCTTCCTTCTCAGGATATGCCCAAAATATAGCAGTCTCAACTGTCATGCTGGCTTCTAGGGAGAATTCAGGCTTGGGCCCCCCCCCCCCCCCCCAAGATGCATTCAGTAGCCTTTTGGCAGCCCACAGTATCCACAAAACCCTTTTAACAGCACCACATTTCAGATGAGGTTTTTCCTTCCCATCAGTGTTCTTCACTGTCCAGTGTTCCTATCTATACATAAAAATGGTGGATACGATGGTATGGGCAATTCTAATTCTAGTATTCAATATATTTTACACTTTGGGATCTTGTTTAATTCTTTCATATCTGCCCTTTCAAGTCTAGTCTTCTAGAAAGCTAAAAGAGCTTTTCATCTCTCCTCCCCACTATACAACACGGCTCAGGAAGAGCGAGAAAAATGGTAGAGGTGAATAACTGTTTTTTTAGATAGTGTCAGGAATAACAATTTGGCTTTCTGGACCATGGTTTGCTCTTCCAGGAAGATGGCCTACTGTTACGGGATGGACTGCACCTCACAGAAGTAGGAAGGAGTGTTTTTGCTCAGAGACTGACAATCTTGATCAGGTGGACTTTAAACTAGGTTGTGTGGTATTACTTTAGTACCTTTACAACTGCTCCACCCTTGCTGTAAATTACATAAGACTAAGCTAGTGTCTGGATTCTTAATCATCACAGTATGCTTGGGCTTGATCCTTACGATTACTTACATTTTCTTAATGTTACTTAAGAAATTATAGACTTAAAATCCCCGACAACATTTATCTGGATATGTTTTTTTTCATATCTCCAAATCAAACAGGGCATATTGGAAATGTACCTTATGTGGGGAAGTGGTGTTTTATTAACTGAAATAAAATATAGTTAAATCAAGGTTTGACTGATATTGTGAAACATCTGTGAAGCAATTTTAGTTATTACTTTTTTTTTACTAGTTGCTAATATTGTTATTGAGAAGACCTTAATCACTGTGAATTTTCTTTTTTGTTCCAGCTCTTCCATCCAGATCTGTTTCAGTGGATGAATCTAGGCCCGAACTTCTTTTTAGGCTAGCAGTGGGTGTTTTCTCAGTGTCAGTGCTCCATATCGATCCTCTACCACCACCTGAAACATCACTAAATATTAGTCCACTGACACCAATGGCGCAGGATTTTTTTACCAGAATAGAAAAGGTTAATCCAGCTGAGTTTCCAACAGAAGATTTTATGTCCTTCCGAGAAGTATTTGCAAAGGCTTGTTCACATGACCATCTTAGGTACAACCTCTTATTCTTTGGCTCATGCAGCAAACAAAGCAAAGCATTCTGTGTGAACTTCAATAGCAACCTAGTTTGTAAAATAATAACTTTTACTAGAGTAATATGATACTTATTTCATAAAACCAGATTACTATTATTGGCAAAGAAGGCAGGACTTAGCATTTCATAGAACAGAAATGTATGTATGTAAATCTAAATAGACTCTCAAGAGAGTAATATACAACAGTATTCTGTGTTCTCTATTGGCATAACTTGTCTGAGACTTTATRACATAAAACAAAAATGTTATCAGCACRTTMTCATAGAGAAATAAACAACAGMCTAAAGATAATAAAGTCCATCCWTTCAGTGAAGGAATTCAAARGTCTCTATYTTTATCTTCAAAAGARTYYTTCTTTTGGCAAGAYAGTCTCAAGGARTTCTTCTTAGGCAACACAGTCTTTCTTAGGCAACAAAATCTCWACAAGGTCTTCCGGTATGTTATCCTTGTTTCGAACARATATCTTCCTCAGGGTGTAGWCTGTTAWAATATTATGCTTAGTGCACTAAATAGGGAGTAGAAATAACATACACAATAGATACATGAAACTCCCAAAATAACATTGCTAGAAAAACATTTTGTAATATTACAAAATGTTTTTCTAGCAATGTTATTTTGGGAGTTTCATGTATCTATTGTGTATGTTATTTCTACTCCCTATTTAGTGCACTAAGCATAATATTATAACAGTCTACACCCTGAGGAAGATATTTGTTCGAAACAAGGATAACATACCGGAAGACCTTGTTGAGATTTTGTTGCCTAGAAAGACTGTGTTGCCTAAGAAGAATTCCTTGAGACTGTCTTGCCAAAAGAAAGACTCTTTTGAAGATAAGAGACCTTTGAATTCCTTCACTGAAWGGATGGACTTTATTATCTTTAGTCTGTTGTTTATTTCTCTATGATAATGTGCTGATAACATTTTTGTTTTATGTTATAAAGTCTCAGACAAGTTATGCCAATAGAGAACACAGAATACTGTTGTATATTACTCTCTTGAGAGTCTATTTAGATTTACATACATACATTTCTGTTCTATGTCATTATAGATACTTGTTTGCTAGGACTTAGCATTTCCCCTACAGCTACCAACCATTTTTTGCCAATTAAATGATTTTAGCTTAAAACCTGCCATTGCAGGAGATTGAAGAGGTAATGGCTGGCAAGAGAAAGTAATCATAGGTTGGTGCTCTTCCTCTAGTGCTGTTTGAAAGGAGGCTAATAAGCTGACATTTATTTGCAAGGAACAGAGGTGAGGTATGCCATCTATGCAAAATGAAGTCATGCCATGATGAAATGGTCTTGCATCCTGGAAATGATGTCTTCTGCAAGATACAAAGATTAAATGTGGAGTTTGTTTCAAAATGGCACCATATCCCTCAAAATTGAAGAATGGGTTATAGGTGGCAGTACATTGTTGGCTAGGAGTAGAATATTATGTACATATCAAAACTATCAAATTGTATCAAATCACTTTGATACAAGGCTTGGGAAATTGCGTTTTATAGCTTTTTTTTTTTTTCAATTCCTATACAATTTGTTCCTTTTGGTGCCTTTTGGAAACCAACTCCTCAAATATACATTGGGATAGGATAGAAAGTTAAATGTCAGCTTTAATTACATTTGCAATTAAATTATTTCCGCAACAGAAATCATTGTATACATATCTTCTACCTTTGTTTCTCACCACAGATTTGTAGGTACAGGCATCAAAGTGTCCTATGAACACAGACAAAGATCGGCCTCCCGTTGTTTGAGTACAGATTTATCCATTGGACAAATGGAACTTCTGGAATGTCTTTTTTCTACAGACTCTCATTCTGAAATACCTCATTATACAGAGGTAAAAATCTGTATATCTAGTTAATGCTAAGAGCTAATGTCGTGTAGTTGTTTAAGTGCTGGATTTTGACTTTGGAGACCAGGGTTCGGATCCCTGCTCAGCCCATTGGGCAAGTCACATACTGTCAGCCTCCAAAGAAGGCAAACCCCTTCAGAACAAATCATGCCAAGAAAACCTTGTTATAGTTTTACTTTAGGATTGCCATAAGTTAGAAAACTTTGAACAATAAGGCACACAACAACAATGCTACTGCAGGAAATTGAAGTACATTGAGAAAAAGCAACACTCGTATCTAGTAGTATACCATAGGAACAATTGCTTTATGACATTATTGGCCTTTTGGACAATATTGCCTGTTTGAATTGAATGGGAAATTGCATTTCACACTTGGCTAGTTGATTGTGAGATGGAAAAGCATTTGCATTGTTACAGGTAATGTGGGGATATTTCCACAGACTAAAAGTTGTGGTAATGTACATAGTATGTTTCTTACACATCTGTGGTCAACAGATATTCTACCAAATGAGAAGTTGAAGAAGCATTTCAGACAAAAAATACTGTATATATTAGCCAAGGCACCTAATTTTACCACAAAAAACTGGGAAAACATATTGACTCAAGTATAAGTCGAGGGCGGAAAATGTAGCAGTTACTGATAAATTTCAAAATAAAAACAAAAACCAATAAAATTATATCATTTGAGGCATCAGTAGGTTGAATGTTTTTTAATATTTACATAAAACTGTAATTTAAGATAAGACTGTCCAACTCTGATTAAACCATTATTAATCTTCTTCAAGGTTAATGTGCTTATGTATCTTTACAATAACAATAATAATGAGTGTAAAATAATAAATATAATAATAATAGAGTAAAAAATAAATGTAATAATAAATAGAATAAAATAATAGAGTAAAAATAAATGTAATAATAAATAGAATAAAATAATAAAAGTAAAATAATAGAGTATAATAATGTAATAAAAATAATAATAGAGTAAAATAATGTAAATGCAACAACAATAATAAATATAGTAAAATAATAAATGTAACAACAACAACAACAACAGAGTAAAATGATAAATAACTTTGATTGAAGTATAAGGCGAGGGGGGCTTTTTAACTCTAAAATAGGGGCTGAAAAACTCTGCTTATACTCGAGTGTATAGGGTAGTTTCCTTTCTCACCTGAAAGCGATATAAATGTATTGTATCTAAATGTGATTTGTTAATGATGATACTAAGGCTGAAGAAAGTCCCTAATGCACACTCCAGAATTACTATCCTGTTTTGCACCGAGCAGAACATGGTCAAAAGAGTTATCCTCTTGTTGGATTAATTTTCTTTTCTTCAGATTTCCCATGGCTCCCCATTTTCCCTATTCAGCCTTGGATTAATAGAGAGGTGGCATCTTGAGGTGATAATTATAGCATTGCAGCACACTTTCATAAACATCAAATAAAATGTGGGAAATCTCAAAGCCTCATTTGATAGATTGTCCTATTGCTTGACCAAATAATACCTCATGGGGAAAGAAAATAAAACAGAGATACTGCTTAATTAGAAGATGTTTTTAAAAAAAGTTCATTGTATCTGCTTTTAATTGGCTCAGCTGAAATTATTGTTGTCCTTTTTTAAAGCTGCTGATGTTTAATTCTGAAAAACAAGGAAATAAGCTGCACCCTCTCTCATGCCTTCAGCTCCATTACAAGCACTCAGACAACAAAGGACCTCAGGTAGAGTTGAAAATATTATTTCCTCAGGTATTAGCAAAATGATTATGCCTTTTATATTGGATTGTATGTAACTTTGTAGAACAGTGGCTGGGATCCTACAGAGAACATCCACTTGCAGAAGTCTTCCTATTTAGAATTAAGGAGGGGGCAGTGATCTTCGTGGCAGCAACTCCTTGTCTGCCTCAGAAAGCTGCTCAAGAATGCTAGATACCTAATTTTTATTTTGTGAGGGAGAGGAGAGATTTTTGTCATGATGGTGTCAATATTTTACATTTTGCTACTAAAACCTTGTGTTCTTTTTATGACAGGGCAGCCAAGGGAGACTGAGCTCAGTTCCACAAAAAGCAGACTTACAAATCAAGCTGAGTCCGGCATTCTGTGAGCTGGATATTAGCATTGTAGACAGACTAAACTCATTGCTTCAACCACAGAAGTTAACCACAGTGGAAATGATGGCATCACATATGTACACCTCGTACAACAAACACATTAGCCTGGTAAGTAGAGGATAATACTGCATTGTTTGCAAATTATTAACTTTATTTGACCAACAGAAATCAGTGTATTGTTCAATAATGTGTGCAGGAAAAAATCTGCTTATGCTGGGGAAAAACTGTCGGGGGGAATGTTATTGTGCTGGCACATGAGAGAGGGATAAAGTAGGAACTCAAGCGATATTCGTATTGTTCTTACAGGCCCAGGTAAGTAGTAAGGCCAAGAAGCATAATCATGCCCTAATAGGTGTCTGTACTGCTGTAAATTATACTTAGTATAATGCATAATTGGACAGATTCCAGAAGAGTTCTGGGAAGAGTACCCATTTCCTCCAGGAGGCTACAGCCATGTCCTTGACACACACACACACCTCATTTTATAATTTTGACTTCAGAAAGCACCTCATATTCTCTAGAAAGTTGTTTCTTAAACTGTGGGTCCCAACCCCAAATTGCTGAGGGTTGAGCTCACCAAAAAAATTGTAACAGTAAAAGTTTTCTTAATGCCACTTCAACATTTACATAAATCTGTTGGAAACAACATGCAGTGTTTACAGTGAACTATGCAGAATGCACCAGCTGTACCTCATAAAAAGGAAAATCATCCTGTTTAAAAAAAAACCTTGCAAATGCTGATTTATTATCAATTAATGATTAATTTGTATACCAAGGAGCCCCCGGTGGCGCAGTGGGTTAAATCCCTATGCCGACAGAACTGAAGATTGACAGGTCGCAGGTTCGAATCTGGGGAGAGCACGGATGAGCTCCCTCTATCAGCTCCAGCTCCTCATGCGGGGACATGAGAGAAGCCTCCTAGAAGGATGGCAAAAATATCAAAAACATCCAGGCATCCCCTGGACAACGTCCTTGCAGACGGCCAATTCTCTCATACCAGAAACGACTTGCAGTTGCTCAAGTCGCTCCTGACACAACAAAAAAAATTGTATACCTATTTTATATGCCTATATACCTGGTGTTAGGAGCTTTGGTGGCACAGTGGGTTAAACCACTGAGCTGCTGAACTTGCTGATCTAAAGGTTGGCAATTCAAATCTGGGGAGTGGGGTGAGCTCCTGCTGTTAGCCCCAGCTTCTGCCAACCTAGCAGTTCGAAAACATGCAAGTGTGAGTAGATCAATAAGTACCACTTCTGCGGGAAGGTAACACTGCCCCATGTAGTCATGCTGGCCACGTGATCTTGGAGGTGTCTTCAGACAACACTTGCTCTTCAGCTTAAAAATGGAGATGATCACCACCCCCCAGAGTTGGACATGTCTAGACTTTAATGTCACGGGGAAACCTATACCTTTACTTTTTTATATCTGGTGTTGCGTTAAAATGTTTCAGGCAGAAAGGGGTCACAAACAATAAAAGTTTTTAAAGGCCTTCTCTAGAATACTTCTTAAACTATGGGTCCCGACCCCAAACCCCTTAGCTTAGTGTTGGAATCTAAAATTGACAGTTTAGTGAGTCAGTGGGATCTAAGTACTTATTTTTTTACCAATTCCAGAACCTTTTGCAAGCTTCCTGTCATAACAACCAAAACAGTAATAAGGCACTCCTTGGATTTCGTACAAAAAGTGTAATAACTGGTTTGCAAAATATAGTAGATATATTAAGAAAAAAAGATGTCGTTGCTAAACATGTAAAAACAGATGTTTTATACATTAGATTTATATCAAATGCAAGGATTTTTCATAAATAAATCTTCCACACTGATTGTAATTCATTGTTAAAAAATAACTGTTTTCAAATATCCCTTTCTTCCTTTTTTTAGCACAAAGCATTTGCTGAAATTTTTCTGGATGATTCACGTACTCCTGCAAACTGCAAAGTCTCAGTTCAAGTGATGGCACCATCTTTGAAGGTTTCAGTTCGCTTTCCAATACCTGACCTACGATCAGACCCAGAACGAGGACCCTGGTTTAAGAAGTCTCTTCAGAAGGAAATTCTGCAATTAGAATTCACAGATATAGAACTGAAAACTGAATTTACTGGAGGGCCGACTCCAGAGCAAGTTAAATTGGAGCTCACTTTTAAAGAACTAAGTGGTAAGACTCTGTGATAACTTTCAAAAGATTGTTAAAGCTATCTTGATCACAGGAAACGTAAGGGAACTATTAGTAAGATGGTTCCTATTTATTAAACCAGTTCCTATTTCCATGGGAATCTATAGATTTTCATCAACAAAGAAGAGAAACTGGGGTGTTGTGTGGTTTACAGGCTGTATGACCATGTTCTAGCAACAGTTTCTCCTGATGTTTAAGATAACACTGTCCAACTCTGATTAAACCATTATGCTAACCTTCTACAATATAGATGTGCTTATGTATCCTTACAATATTAATAGAGAGAATAAAATAACAAATGTAATAATAATAATAGAGTAAAATAATGTAAATGTAATAATAACAGTAATAAATAGAGTAAAACAATAAATGTAATAAAATAATAGAGAGAAAATAATGTAAATGTAATAATAATAACAATAATAGAGTAAAATAATAAATGTAATAATAATAGAGTTAAATTTTAAATGTAATAATAGACTAAAATAATAAATTTAATGACAATATTAAATAGAATAATAATAATAAATGTAATAATAATAAATAGAGTAAAATAATAAATGTAATAATAATGATAGAGTTAAATAATGTAAATATAATAATAAATACAGTAAAAAGTGTAATAATAATAACAATAATAATAACAGTAAAATAATAAATAACATTGACTCGAGTATAAACTGGAGGGGGGGGTCAGCCTTAAAAAGGGCTGAAAAACTCAGCTTATTATTTGAATATATACAGTAGCTCTGTTCTGAATAATGGGCAATAAACTATGTCATTTCAACTATGTTGAAACATTTACACCTAGCTCTAACACACAAGAGTTCTTTGTCCCACCCTGGTCATTCCACAGATATATAAACCCATTTTCCTAGTTTCAACAGACCTCACTACCTCTGAGGATGCTTGCCATAGATGCAGGCGAAACGTCAGGAGAGAATGCCTCTAGAACATGGCCATATAGCCCGAAAAAACCTACAACAACCCAACTATGTCATTACTAAGTGCAAAAACTGAGAGAATGCTAAATTGAAAATCGTCTTCATCTTGCTTATAGTGTATTATGAGTACACCGTTGATCACCTGGATATATAATATAATCTTCTCTGGTTTCACTGCAGGGTCATTTGAAGAAAGCAAAGATGAATCAGCTGTACAGTTTTTTCAGGTTTCCAGTGGTGTAGCTGGAGAGATGGTTTCATCAGACAACTTTGACTGGCCACGGTAACCAAAGAAATTTTGGTATCTCCCAACTTCATTTTTAAAAAGTTTTGGTATATGGCTAGATGTTGCCTATAATATTTCTTCTTTTTGTAAATCCTTGTTATTATATCCTTCTGGGCCATGTTGGCAAAAGCAGTTAAATTATATCTTGGGTAGTCAGTGTTTTCATTTTGATCAGTGATTACAAATTACAGTAAATATCACACCCATAGGAAAAGGAGTGGTCCTTCACAGATTAAAAGTGTCATTGCCCCTATTAGAAAATACCAAGAATATATTATTATTTTTACAATTGAGTATTGACTGTGATTGACAGTATGAAACTGTAGATATAACAACAGAGTTAGGAGAACTATCCAAAAAGGACAAGTAAATATAATTTGGAAAACATATTAAGGGATGAAATAGCAGTAAGACAATGACAGGTTTAAATAGTTGTACAATTAGGTAAACATTTCATTTAACTCAATATAAAAAGTAAAGGTAAAGGTTTCCCCTGACATTAAGTCTAGCCATGTCAGACTCTGGGGGTTGGTGCTCATCTCTAATTCTAAGGCGAAGTGTATATTAATGCACCAAGATTAAATAATGCACTAAGAATTCCTTTCAGAGCTTTAAAAACAGAACTCCCGAAAAGAAACGAAATGCATAGAGTAGTACAGAATGCAGTTTATCTAACCTGAATGTACCATTTGGCAGCAGCCACCAACATTATAGTTAGAGTTATCAATTTGCATCTCTAAGTCAACTTTCATTCCTATCATTTAATCAGTATGTTTTATTTCCAATATGATTATAATGATCTGCTAATTTTATGATTAGCAGTAGTTTCATTCTGTCAGAAATAAATTTCTCACTCTTAACATTCCATATTCTGCAATCCACTCATCTAAGGAAATGAACAATTCATGAAGGAAATCTTTATTCCATATTTTAAGAAGAATATGGGTATATTTGTATGTGTGTCTGTTGTACAACCTTCACAAAAACTAATGTAATTTCATTACAGTGGAATTTATAGAGTTGTTTCTGGAATTTAACTATATTTTCCTTTTCTTGTTTGAATATTAGAATTGTCCTAAAAATAAATCCACTTGCCATACATTCCATTCTGGAAAGAGTAGCACCTGAGGAGGAAGAAGAAGTTGATGGTCATTTCCAAGAAGAAGAGGAAGGTGGATCTCATTCTCTGAAAGACGTGTGTGATTTTAGAAGACCTGAACCATCTCCCTTTTCCTCTCGAAGGGTCATGTTTGAGAATGAAGAGGTAGGAGGGGCACTCATATTTAGGACTCATTCATATGATAGTTGTTCGGGGCATTTGGCACATGGCTAAAGTATATAGGGTTCTTACAGCTTCTATGGCTTTAGTCTAAGCTAGAACAGCAGGTTAACTATAAAGTACAGGAACCTCTTACCTTTAAAGTATTGTAATAGATTCCTGCGGTTCCATCTTTTTCCTCGTGGTAGAAAGGTCTCCAGAACCACCCCTACCCCCAGCATTGCTTTGATAAATGATGATCTTTTCCCAGGTACTGTTGGAGGCTAGACAACATGATGTTTTTAAACTGATACTCAAAAACTAATGATGGATTTTTTTTGTTTCTTTTTGTGGCTCCTATGTAAATGAGGACTCTCCTCCCTCCCTTTCAAATATTGTTTCATGCTTAGATGGTGATGCCTGGTGATACAGTGGAGATGACAGAGTTTCAGGATAAAGCAATCAGCAACTCGCATTATGTGCTGGAACTTACGTTACCAAATGTATGCTTAACATTACCAAACAAAAGTTTTTATGAGAAGCTTTATAACAGGCAAGTATAAATATTTGTTTTCCTAAATTTAATCAGTGGCTTAATTCTCTTGGTTGGGGAGATTATTTTTTATCTACAATCCCCCTGCTATCCTCCGGGTCACTTTCCCATATTGACCTAAAGAACTTGGGAAGCTCACTTTCAAGAGGTGCAGGACAACTATGAGAGGAACAGAATTTACTAAATTATGAAAAACTAGTTTTGGATTATTTTGTAGGGCTATTCCACACAGCCATATAACCCAGTATATCAAGGCAGAAAATCCCACGGTATCTGCCTCGAACTGTGTTTTCTGAGTCCACACTGCCATATATTCCACTTCAAAGTAGATAAGGTGAGATTTTATTCAGCTGTGTGGAAGGGGCCATAGTTGAAAGGAAATTTAAAAGTATATTAATGTAACCATTATATATATATATATTTCTCTCTATGTTTTGTCCTCATATACTTGTAATACATAGTAATTAATGGTGCTTTTAATATTAAACATTGGAATTTAGATTAATGTGGTGCTCTAAACATAAGTTGTCTTTCATATTGTAGAATTGTGACACTTTTATAGCCCTTCAAATTTCCTATCTGCATTCTCTACACAGACCTTTGAATTATATTTTAGGGAAGTACTAGATCTCTTTACCAGGGAATTTTAAATACTTCATGAAACAGAAATCTTGGGATTCTGTAGAATGGAGTCTTTACAGTTAAAGTAGTTTAAAAATGCTACAGTTGTATAGCTTTCATGAGTCTTAATATAAATCGTGTATCCAGAATTGCAGAAAATTGCATGACCCCACAGGAAGAAATAAAGAAACAATGTCCCCTTCCCATCTGATGCTGCCCACAGCCCTCAAAATCTACTCTGTCATATTGGAAGACTTCCTCTAATAATTTAATATTGAGGTTTGCAGTCATACGGAGAAAATGGATAAAAGAAATATATCCACACTCTATATTTTCTGTAGTGGAAGGCTCCATTAGATCCCTAGATTTGGGAAGAGAAGTCTTGCATTGTTCCAATCCCATAATTCCAACTGTTTATTAATGCACTTTTTTTCAGAATCATAGACTTCCCCTTGCTCTTCTGGTTATAGTTATTTCTAAGTTCCTACACCTTCAAACAACTAATATATCTGTATCTTTTCTTTCTCTGTAGGATCAGTAATGATCTGTTACTGTGGGAACCCACAGCTCCCTCTCCTGTAGAAACATTTGAAAACATTTCTTATGGTGTTGGACTTTCAGTAGCAAGCCAGCTGATAAACACGTTTAGTAAAGATAGTTTTAGCCAATTCAAATCTACCATTCACTATGGTAACGTACTACAAATACTTTCTAAAACTGCTGTGTTTAAAATTTATAATCTTAAGTATTTGGTGGTGTATGTATGTGATATTGTATCTAAAGCAGTTACAAATGCTTAATTGTTAAATGGTAAACCTCGACATAAAAGAGACCTAGCCAATACTGCATAGTATTTGAGTGTTGGACCATGAGGCTAAAAATCATGATTCAAATCCTTACTTGGCCTTGAAAACCAACTGAGTGACCTTAAGCAAGTCACACATTATCAGCCTCAGCCTATGAAAATGACCTTAGGAAAGAACATGAAGTTAGTTTATAGAAAATCTTGATTTGGTATGCTGTTGATGTTTCAAAAAGCATTGTTGGGTAACATTAGGAATAGAAAATAAAACTTCCAATACTATATAGCCTTTATACAATCCATGGTGTAATCACATTTATTCAATTTTGCCAAAGCACATAAGACAAAGTCAATGTGGATCTGGAAAGGGTTCTGACTGGGCAATCAAAATAATCAAGAAGTTGGGGCAGTTGCCATGTCATGAATTGTTATAACATTTTCATTTAAATAGATAATAAAAAGATGAGTAAGGGAGGCAGGATGGGGGTATACAAAATTCTGCAGGATGTGGAGATAGGGAAAGGGGTTTCTTCTTCTCATAATACTAGAATTTGGACTCATACACATCAATCGCTGATACTCAGAACAGATCCACATCACCTCCAGTATTAGATGCAATATGTTTCTATTAATGAGGTGCAGGAACGAGCTGGGCATGTTTAAGAGAAAGCTGAGCGGAGACATGATGGCCATGTAAAAATATGCAAGAGGAGGAGGGTGCAGGCTTGTTTTCTGCTGCCCTGGAGAATAGGATGGGGAACAATGGCTTCAAACTACAGGAAAGGAGATTCCACCTGAATATTAGGAATAACTTCCTAACTGTGAGTGCTGTTCAGCAGTGGAACTCTCTGCCTCAGAGTGTGGTGGACGCTCCTTCTTTGGAGGCTTTTAAACAGGCTGGGTGGCTATCTGTTGGGTTGCTTTGAAAGTAATTTTCCTGCTTCTTGGCAGGGGATTGGACTGGATGGCCCACGAGGTCTCTTCCAATTCTATGATTCTATGAAAGCATGAGATGAAGGCAAAGTTGCATTTCTGTCTAATAGACAGTTGATTGGCCCCATGTTGACATTGTTGTATTAGATAACCTTTCAGACTCATCCAACAAGGTTCTCCTTATGTGTTATTTACTCCTCAAAGGGAAAGTTAAACAAATACAGTAATTCAATGCTTTTAATAATGATGGAAATAGGTAATTTTGTTTTCCTCTATAATCTATATATGCAGGTTTCATTATTTAATTTCTGTTACAGATGATGAGAGTGGATCTGAGGAGGAAACATTACAATATTATTCTACTCTTGATCCAAACTACTGTTCACGGAGAAAGAAAAAAACTGAATCTCAAAATAGGAACACACAGAACTTCCTCTCAGTTCTTTTGAATATTAACCATGGATTAATATCAATGTTCACAGATATCAAGGTGAGACTTTTCCACATATGTCCTGAACTAGGATTCATGTGTGTGTTATAGTATGAAAGTTACTATTTCAGTATGCTTTTCTGTGGTAGCATGATTACTGTTTTGAGGGGCAAGGACTGATTTTAGTTACAGAGTGGATTAAGCAGCAATGTGAGCTCAGAAGTAATATAATCTCTGTACCCTTCAAAATGGTACAGTCAAGTTCCAAACCACTAAATCTTTCTAACAATTTCTTCAGCAGGATGATGGAAGTATATGTGAAGACAAACATGGAGAATTTTGGTTTGAATTCAGTGGTGGTTCTTTGTTCTGTGTAACAAAATATGAAGGCTTTGAAGACAAGCACTATATCTGCCTTCATTGTAGCAGTCTCAGTTTGTATCATCAAGGTATGGAATAGACACATCCGTAAAGGTACACATGTGTGTTCAGATATAGAAAAAACAGGGCTGGTAGGGTAGGAAATAATGTGAGGCTTCTCTTGTAATCCAGACCAGCGCTTGGAAAGTTACTTTTTAAAATTAACCTGCTTGTATTATTCATGCAACAGTGAATCATTTTCCTGTTACTTGTTTCAGAGTGTAAAAGGTAATTAGTTATGTTATTCTGTACTCTTCCATTTTTTTGTTACTACTTTAAAAATACTCTCATCCAGAGAAACAGTAACCCCCACCAACAACGGAGAGGGACCAAACTTGGCACACAGACCCAACATAGCCTACTTTGAATACTGGTGGGGTTTGGGGAGGATTGATCCATGATTTAGGGGATTGTAGTTCACCCGCATCCTTATGCATTTTTCTAATGGGAGCATTCATAAAAAACAAAAGCAAAGACAGACTTTTTCTAATAAATAATGTTACAGATTACCAAACTGATATTATCGAACATCCAAAAGAACCCAATGATTTTTTCAAATAACCCGGGCATCGCTGGGTACCCAAGCTAGTAATTGATAAAAAATCTATAAAACTTGAAAAATTCCTGCTTATATAAGTGAAAATAACAATAAAAGGTAACTTGAAAAAAGTAGCTCATTGCACCAATAAACTACCTTCTTATATAAAAAAGTAACTTTTGCTACATATGACTATATAACAAATTGCCTCTTCTTTCAATGCTCTGTTCTTGACAGATCATAATTTAACAAAAGATTAGTAAAGAATTTGTGGGAGTTTCAAAATAAAAAGTTATTGAAACAAAGTAGAATCACAAGTTGGTTCTTCACACCCTGAAACAAATAATGTTTTGGTTCATAAACCCCTGCAATCTGGCTTTCTGCTTTTAAACTATGTTTCCTAAGATGCTTTTGGGTAGATTACCAGTTGAGCAGCAACTATCCGTAGTTAAAGGCTTACTACTGTACCACCTAGAGTGGTTCAGTATTGTAGCACCTTGATATCACTTGAATTGTTATGGCACCATCCTATGGAATCCTAAGTTTTGTAATTTTGTGAGGTATTTATAACTCTTTAATTCTGTAGTTCAGAATAGTGAACTAAAACATTCTAAATACGTCACCAAATACTTCATATTTAAAAATGGCAGGAGTCCATAGGATGGAGACGTGGCAGTTAGTTCTCTTGAACTGCTCTTAATTGTGTAGTATGATTACACTCTGGTTCTCATAAGAAATAAGTATTGCTTACCTTCCTTCCATGAATTAATTTCATTACTTTTCTTAGCCATCTGGTGGCAGTGTTGTTCCTACATTCAACAATATGAAATTGAAATTACCAAGTATTTGCCAGCATGAGCCTCCATTCCAAGGAAGAGATAGCTTGGCTAATCGTAACATTTACACTTGCCTCAAAGAGACAAGAATTCTTTATTCCACCCTGGACATTCCACAGATATATAAACCCCACTTAACTAGTTTTCAACAGACCTCACAAACTCTGAGGATGCCTACCATAGATGCAGGCAAAACGTCAGGAGAAAATGTTTCTGAACATGGCCATACATCCCGGAAAACTTACAGCAACCCAAGGATAGCTGTTTTAACCATACAGCAAAAGTGTATACTGGCCAAACTAATGATGGAAAATTGGGGTCTTATGCTACTCCTGAAAAGATGAAAGGGTTGTTCAGGGTTCCTGAGCCAATAACAAGAGGGTGAAGAACTCAACTCAGAACTGGCATATGGGCAGTTATTGCAACGTATCTTCACAGTTGCAAACCATTTCTTCACCATTCAGGTGATGAAAAGATAGCACTGGGTATTGCTTAGACATTTCTCATGGCCCTCCTAGAACAGAAGATCAACTAATATTAATTGTTCTAAGCTTGACAAAATAATAATAATAATAATAATAATAATAATAATAATAATAAGAAGAAGAAGAAGAAGAAGAAGAAGACGACGACGATTAAACACAAAATTACCATCTGTCAGCTGCAGAATGCCACCTTACTGGGATCTGCACACGTTATTCGCCGATACATCACACAGTCCTAGACACTTGGGAAGTGTCCGACGTGTGATCCAATTCAACAACCAGCAAAGTGTCTGCTGTAGACTCATCTTGTTGTGTTTCTAATAATAATAATAATAATAATAATAATATATTTGTAGGACTTGGGGCAGTTTCCAGCATATATGGCAAGCATTTAATACCAATGAGGAAAAGACTTATAAACAAATTACATCAAAACAGAACACATCAAACAATAAAAGCAGCCAAATTATTTCTAGATCATTTTGATAACACCCGTAGGAAAATGAATTTCTGATCACATTTCTGATAACTTTCTCATGGTGGGAGTTAGCTTCTAAAGGTAAAGAAAATTTGCACTAATTTTAGGGGGGGAAATAACACTTGCTCTTCTTTTCATTTTTAAGTTCCCTTAACTGATGTTGGTACTAATTCATCTTTTTACAGGATTGGTTGAAGGGGTAGTGCCTCCATCTGAAATAAGGCTGCCAAGTACAACACATCCTCATTGGTTAGAACCTACTATTTATTTCTTGGAAGAAGAAAGTCTCAGCAGAGCTCCTTCAGATGGTGTGGGAGTGGACAGCATAAGCATGTTGTCTGTTGCAGTTAAAATACAGTCAAATAAATCAGAGAGCAATACAAAGGTTTGTATTTATAAAATGCTGTGATTATAAAGTCAGTGCACATATATTTCTCTTAATCTTCAAAGGTATATTTCAGTCTTGTTTCATTTGCCAACCTGTGTGGCAAAACTCTGCCAGAAGCTAAACTCAAATGGATGTGATTAATTGTTTTCCCTAAAGTTGCCTGGAGTTGAAAGGCTACATTGCTTTCTAACATTCCCAGGAAAGGTTGAGACTAAACAGTAATATTTGTTTACATTTTTTTTAAAAAAGAGTCCATTCTTAAAAGAGTATTATCAGGACTGCTTACAAGCTGAATAATGTAAACCAATGGAATCCAATAAATACAGTGATTACAAATAAAACAAGTAGCCCACAAATTAGGGAAAGGAGAGCCAAAAAGATCTGCGAGATTTTAATGTTTCTATAAAGGACTGCATAGAAAAGGTCTGATAAATCTCCACAGGAAGATCATTCCAGAGATATGAGACCACCAAAAATACTGTTTGCCTTATATTCATCAGCTCAACCACCCTTAATCTCCCAAAACATCTGATTGAACACACTTAACTTGAATTTACAGGAGTTTTTAGTTGCTGTTGGGCTTAGAGGAGCCACCCTGCAACACAGAGTACTTCCTTCCGGTTTAAGCTGGCATGAGCAGGTATGTTAATTGACTACATGTTTTTCTAAGTATTTCCTGTGATAGCAAACTCAGATGTTGAGAATGGACATGATTGGAGATAAAATGGCTGTATTGAATAAAAAGAAAGAGGAATCCCAAGGCTTATGGAAATAAATCAGCTAATTATTTACCCAACTCCAGTAAAATGATGAGCGGGGGGGGGGGGGGGGGGGGGGGGGGGCTGGTGACGATGTGCTGGAGCTTTATCAGTTGTAAATGAAGAGTAGAAAATTGTATAGTGACTTACACTGTAATGTTCTGCTTAGCAGAGACTTTGGGCAGGACTGCTTTTTTATGAGAATAGATGCATTGTAAGACAACTCCACTAGATTAGCAAGGGCAGCTTATATGTAGTCATATAATAATAATAATAATAGGTCAGCAATTTAGAGAAGCCGTTACGTGTCCAACAAAGGGTTTGATCCAGAAATAGATGAGCAAGATCACACCTTAATAAAGTTATCTGCCTCGTTCTCTTTTGAACCGATCTTATGATATGTGTGAATGACATTATGTTGATGTCACTTTTCTTGATTAGAATACAGCAGGTCTATTTTTATACTTCTGTAATTGTAGATTTTGTATTTTTTGAACATTTCTGATGAGCCTATCTTGGGATATAATCCTCCAGCCTCTGTTACGACGTTTCACGTCCATCTCTGGAGTTGTGCTCTAAATTATAGGTAAGTTGAAAATGGGAGGTATACAAATCAAACTCCTAAATGACAATTATTTTCTTAAACTTTTGATTTCCATTTCAGCATGTTAAAGTTTATTCATGTCTACTTGTCATTCTGAAACAGAATTACGTTGAAACTGATATTTTTTGTATTTGGGTTTTTTTTGGCAGGCCTTTGTTTTTGCCAACTAGATCACTTCTTACTGTTGAAACGTTTAGCATCTCAAGTAGCGTGGCACCGGATAAGTCATCTTCTACTCTCAGGTAAAATTCTAAGAAATTAGCAAAATGCTTAATATTTTTTATATCGCTTGTGAAGGAGAAATGATGATGATGATGATGATGATGGTGGTGGTGGTGGTGGTGGTGGTGGTGGTGTTTTTATATATTCCCTTTCCCCAAAGTATAGGGCATAAAGTAGTCTATAAACTAAAATAAATATAGTTAAAACATTAAAATATCAACTTTTAAATTTATTAAACTGTCTTTAACATTACAAATATTTTTAAGTTCTGTCAGTGAAAGATTTATAGCTGGTACTATTAAAACAGTACAGCATCCTCTTAAATGTCTTGTCCTGTGAAAGAACTGTGAGGAGAAGCCATTTTAGCCACTCTAGAAAGCATGTTTGTGAGCCTAGGAATAGCCACCAAAAAGGCCCTATCTGACATCATCACTGTTTGCCTGTGAAAAATGTTATAAAACAAAGGTGGATTTTAACTTTTAATGATATTACATCAGATTTGCTCATATATATCTGCTGCTCATATATATTAATCTGCTACTGAGCACAATTCAAAGTGCTGACTTTAGCTTATAAAGTCCTCAACGGTTTTGGCCCAGCTTCCCTGTCCGAATATCTCCCTCTCTATGAACCATCTCAGAGATTAAGATGGTTCGAGGGAGCCCTGCTCTCAGTCCCACCTCCTTCGCAAGCGTGATTAGTGGGGACGAAAGACAGGACCTTCTTAGTGGTGGCCCCTCATCTATGGAACTCCATCCCTAACAAAATTAGATCAGTGCCCTCCCTCTTGGCCTTCAGAAAAAAGTAAAAACTTGGCTATGGGACCAAGCCTTTGGGCATTAAGCAATACAAGGAATGAACAGAATTATGTGCAGTAGATATTGATATGGCCCTGGACTAGGATTGTTGGATTATGTGATTTTAGTGTTTATATTAATATGTTTTTAATTCCATGTTTTAATGTTTAAATGTCATTGCGTTTTTGTGATTTAATTGATAGTTGTATATTATTATTGTTTTATGTTAGGTTTTTATGTATGTGAGGCATTGAATTTTGCCATATATGTTGGTAACCGTTTTGAATCCCCCCCCTCCCCCGGAGTGAGAAAAGCGGTATACAACTGAAGCAAATAAATAAAAAAGTTTCATTGGATGTATGTAATCATTTCAACAACACTTTTCCAAGATTCATAGGCCCACAGTTTTGATTTGTATTTAACTACCTTTCTCTGGGACAGTACTGGGGGCAGGGGGCACAGTATAGTAGGATGTCCTTGTGCAGTTCAGAATGCTTGTAGGGCCCCATAAAGATGTATTCAGCTTGATCCAGACTTTATGAAAGTCTGTATCTTCTGATACTATCCTGCTGGATCTGTGTTCCCACCTTCACTAGGAGACCCCCTTCAATATGTCCCAACACTTTTTACAGTAAAAAGGTTTGGAGGCTGTATTAGCCCCCATGAAACTTTGAAGGGCTGTAATCCCACTGTGAAAAGTACTCGCTTTTTTACCTCCAAATCCTTCTAGGAGTGTGTGAAAGGCATGTAGTCACATCCCCCCCCCCCCCCCCCCCCCCCCGGTTATTTTGGAAATCACATAAAAATCACCTCACATTTCCTTCAGGGGAGTGCAGGTGGTGGGATACATAATGAAAGTGCCCTTCCATTCTCAACAGAGTATATGAAGGTATTAAGAAGTATTTTAACCTGTCCATAGAGGCCACAAAAATGTCCCTGGGCTTTATAAGCTCATTTGATAGGGACACAGGAGAGGACCACCTCAGTGCCTGCTCCCAGGCTTTGGAATTCTTTCCGCAGTAAAGCTATGACAGCCTCCTTTTTTGTTCTTATGTCAATTGAGGAATAATTTTCCAACTGTACCAGTTGTAACAAAATGAGAAATACCTGTAAACCATATTTTTAGTAAGTGAAATCCTGACACCTCCACTTTAGAGAAGTGGTTCTCAACCTTTGTTTCCCCTGGTATTTTGAACTTCAACTCTCAGAAGTCCTAGCGAGCTTACCACCTGTTAGGAATTGTGGGAGTTGAAGTCCAAAACACCTGGAAGACCAAAGGTTGCGAACCACTGTTTGCAACTACCTACATTGACAGATCAACATTACATAATGTGATTCAGACAAGGATAGTCAGATTTCTAGTCTCCCCCCAGATGGATTAGTGGCATGTTTTACTTGTGTCATAACCCAACTCTTTTGAACATCTTTTAATAGAATAATCTTGGATGAGGCTGCCTTGCATCTGTCTGACAAATGTAATGCTGTGACAATGAACCTTCAAAGAGGTAAGTATGCTTTCAGTTGTTGAAAAACCACAGAATACAAATAATCTGTGAGAATTTTGAAAAGTGTCAACACATTTTTAAGCATATACAGTTGCATAATTAATTAGACATGGATGGAAAATAAATGCTTTTTCAGTCCTGAGGGTAATGGATAGAAATGTCTTTATTGATAAGTGTCCATAAAGTTGGCCACAAAAGTACGAGCCATGTGAAAAACATTGGGTTATCATTCTACAACTGTATTGGGAATTAGCATTGTTTTAGTCACATAGCTATCACTGTAGTTATTCACTTATTTATTTTCTCATTTCATTTCTATACCACCACAACTACCATGTGTATGGATATATGCACAACTCAAGTTAAACTCCTTGTATCAGATGAGATGAACTATATTCTACAATATTATGTGTCATAATGCATTTCATAATCTTTTGGGTGCCACAAGGCAATTGGAAGTATAACAGAATTAGATAATAGTTGAATAATAATAATAATAATAATAATAATAATAATAACAACTTTATAGACCGCTCTAACTCTCCGAAGGGTCTCAGGTGGTTTCCAACGAGTATGGCAAACATTGAATGCCATGCAAACAATTTACGTCAAGACAAAGCACATTAGACATTATAGAACAACCTAACCTGTTGACGCAGCAGGTTAAACTGCTGAACTGCTGAATGAAAGGTTGGTGATTCAAATCCGGGAAGCCGGGTGAGCTCCCGCTGTTAGGCCCAGCTTCTGCCACCCCAGCAGTTCGAAAACATGCAAATGTGAGTAAATCGATAGGTACCGCTTCTGCGAGAAGGTAACAGCACTTCATGCAGTCAGGCCAGCCACATGGCCTTGGACACCGGCTCTTTGGCTTAGAAATGGAGATGATCACCACCACCCATGACTAGACTTAATGTCAAGGGAAACCTTTACCTTACTTTAACTTTAACTTAATGAACAAATAGCAAAAAATAAAGACATCATAAAATACAAAAACCTTGATAAAAATACACTCTATATATATATATATATATATATATATATATATATATATATATATATATATATCCTTTATTCAAAATACTTGGAATGAGAAATGTTTTGGATTTCAGATTTGACTGGATTTTGAAATAACCTGTATTTGCATATGATATAATAATAATAATAATAATAATAATAATAATGATAATAATATATTTAGTACCCACCTCTTCTTGTGGCTTGAGACGGGGTACAACATGATTAAAACAATGAGGTAAAAAAACAACACTCTTAAAATGCATATAATAAATATACACTGATAAAATATAGATTAAAATTCATCCTGCAGATCAAAATTCACAAGTTAAAATTGACTGGATAGACCTGCCAAGAGAGGTAGGTTTTCAGTTGTGCTTTAAATTCCGACAGCTGATTTAGCTGTGATATGTTACAGGTGAGACTCAAGTCTGAACACAAGATCCATTTATGTTTCCTATACATCTTACAGCTTGAACTGTCTAAAATCAAAGGTGTCACAGTTTCAGCCACCCATGTAAACCGTTTTGGATTTTGGATTTCAGAATTCTGGATAAGGAATTTTCAACCTGTATTTTGGTTGTGTGTGTGTGTTTTTTTTTGTTTTTTGTTTTGTATTCAACAGATTTTTAAAAAGTTGGAAACGAAAGCTTCAGTCTCAACACTAAAACTGTTTCACATCATGTAGGTTCTTGACGTCTGTGTAGGAGGCGGTGGGAGAAATTGCTTTAAAGCAGAAACTATTTCATGGCTGAGTAACATGTTAACAAATAAACTAAACTGCAGTCAGAAGTATTGCATGTGAAATCAGTGGGTAGAAGTCTATTTCCATAGTTGAAATTTTATGTTTATCTTTTCCCTTCTGAAGCAATCCAGAAATCTATTCTGGGGGCTCTATTGTCCCTCTTGATCAGAATTTGGGATTGGCAGAGGCAGAGGAATATATTCCTTCCTGGTGACACTGATTAAAGCTGTTCCATTCACAGAAAAAAAAGAACCAGATGGCACCCATTAACTTGCTTTTAAAAGATTAGTTCTTGAGCAATTTAATAAATATTTAATGTTGTTTCCTTCAGATTTTGTTCGAGTAATGGACATGGGACTCCTGGAACTTACCATAAAGGCAGTGAAACCTGGATCTGATGGAGAAAGGGTAATGATTTAAATGAAGTGATATATAAAAATTACATTGTGCTTGGCTAAGTTTATGTTATAAAACCCCCAAAAATGGGCCCTTTGCTTTTGAACGTCCAGGGGTTTCCACTGAATTTCATGGAATTAATTACCAAATTAATGGGTGAATCATAAGGGGTGTAACTTAATTTTGGTTGTTTTGGAATTGACTTGAACTCTTCAGCAAAGGCTGTTTGTGATATTGTTGTTGTTCATTCGTTCAGTTGTCTCCGACTCTTCGTGACCTCATGGACCAGCCCACGCCAGAGCTCCCTGTCAGCCGTCACCACCCCCAGCTCCTGTGGGACTGCATATTGAACATTTTGTCTGTTGTAGAAAGAGGAGTCCACTACCTCTTACGCTGCTACCCAAACCCCCTCAAGATTCGTCTTCTTCCTGTTCCTTTGCCACGTAGTAACCAGTAGACAATGTTAAAAAAAGTGCCTGGCTATGTGCCTGTAAGCAATAGTTCCCAACTTTTGGGTCTCCAGGTGTTTTGGACTTCAGTTCCCACAGTTCCTAACAACTGGTATGCTGTCTGGGATTTCTGGGAGTTGAAGTCCAAAACACCGGGGGGCCCAAAGGTTGGGAACCACTGCAAGAATGACAAATACATATTTTTGGATTTCATGACAGTCATCCTGAGACCCCGGAGGATAATGTTGTTATGTGTCTCATTATAGCTACATAGCCAGTGACTTCTTTGGTGCCCTCCGCTTTCTACTAGCCAGTACATAGCTTGGGTGGGGGCTATAGGAAAATGTGATTTTTGTAGGATGGGAGAGCATATTATCATATTTGGAGCAAACAGAGAATGGTGGAGTGTTTCAACAGAAACCAAGTCACAAGAACAAACCCTTTTGGAACGTTCCACATTTATATGAGAGAGTAGAGATGTATTGTTGTTTCACCAGGGTTGAACTTTGCAGTATGTTTCATGTTGTAGGGTTTCAACCACATTTGATCGTTATAAAATAAATAAATACATTTCCCCAAATGACATGCTAGCCTTTTTATCATGCATGTCTTCACTTTAAATTTCTGTCCATTTTTTTGTTGTTGTATAGAGTAAGCCACGCTTTGAACTGCATTGTTCCAGTGATGTTATCCATATTCGAACATGCTCCGATTCTTGTGCAGCATTAATGAATCTTATCCAGTATATCGCCAGTTATGGTGATTTGAATCCACCTGCTAAGGTCGAATCTTCTCCTGGAGTGATTAAACAAAATGCAAAGGTACGAAATGGTGTCTTTCCCAATGCTGCTTTGCAACCATCTCCACTTTTCTGTGGATTCGTTTCATTTATGAGAACTGTTATATTATACAAAGGTTTGTTGTCGAAGGATTTTATGACTGAAATCACTGGGTTGCTGTGAGTTTTCTGGGCTTTATAGCCATGTTCCAGAAACATACTCTCCTGACATTTCGCCTGCATCTATGGCAGGCATCCTCAGAGGTTGTGAGGTCTGTTGAAAACTAGGCAAGAGGTGTTTTATATATCTGTGGACTATACAGAGGTTTTTTTGGGAGGGGAACATAGCCCAGTGTTGTATGCCTTTAACTAATCTTTACTTAAAGGAAAGGAAATAATTGACTTTGTTTTATTGTTGTAGCCTGTTCTCTAGTTCTTTTCTCAAAATGTGTGCCTGTTTGAATACATATTTAATAATGGACTACTTCTATTTGCTGTCAATTTATGCTTCACTTGAACGTTAAACACTTAAATTACTATTACAAAACCTTTATAATCTCAGCCTGATATCCCTTTTTTTGCCATGCATAGACTAGACCATTTCAGATGTTTCTCCCCTGACAGAAAAAGCACAGGGATTCAACAACATAAAACTATTTTGTGTTTTAGGCAGATACTTCCAGTCGGCCACCTTCCCAAGGGCCTGTTCTTGCAGAAGCTGACCAACAGATTTTACGGGATTTGATGAGTGATGCTATGGAAGAAATTGAAACCCAACATCTTACCTCCCCCACTAAACCACAAGCTAATGGTAGAGCTTTCCATGTGTATATTGTTTGTAAACAACTGCCATTTAAGTGCAATAATTTATATAAGTTGTCTTTTAAAAGCGTGTACATGCAAAATGTTTGAGTGAAACTAGTTAGGCCTCAAAGGCTTTAGCGAACAGACATGCTTTCACCTGGTGCTGGAATGGCAGTAATGTGGATATCACATTGGGTCTCCCAGGGGAGAATGTTCCCTTCTAGCAGACCTCAATTCTCAGTTCTCTCACTTGTTAGAGAAAGCGGAACCTTTTACTAAGTAACTCTACCATGTCATTAGAATTGGGAAAAGCCTATTCATCTCAACTGTAATTTGTTGAAACAAGCCAATTGCAAGCCAGATATATTCCTCTGGCCACTTTCAGTTTGATTTTTTAAAAGACATTTTTGACAGGCTGTGCAATACCTCTAAGAACCTAGGAGGCTGAAATTGGCCCTCAGAGCAAGCAGAGTTGCTTCCTCACAGTGTAGTATTTGTACAACATACTCTACTGTTGTTAATCTAAGACAGAAGTGGAAACCCCCAGTCTGCTCATGGACAACTGTGATTTACCATATGTACTCACGTATGCCATTCTCATGTATAAGTCAAGGGCAGGTTAGGGACCATAATTCTGCAGGAAGGGGAAAGCATCAATGCCACCACAAGGAACCAGTCACTTCTGGCTGTTATTTCCATTTTCCCACCCAGAGAAGGCCAGAGTAGTTCCAAAGCAGAAAGGGTAACGTTTCTATTATGTTATCTTGGGGTAGACTAAATCTTTTCGTTCACCAATCTACTCAGAAAACAGGATGGTTCTGTCTTTTTTTTTTTACAAGAGTTAAAGTTGACTCAGTTTTTTGGGTTAATTTTTTGACTAAAATTCCTAGACATACACATGAGTATATAGGGTATTATTATGTGCAAATGCAGCCAATACCTATTCATGTTTTAAATTTCATAAAATATTTCTGACTTGTATCTCTTCTCTCAGGAAGTTTGGATGAAAAAACTCAAACTCCAGCACCGTCTTGCTCAGATCTTTTCCTCTTTCCTGATGAAAGTGGGAACTTGTCCCAGGATTCAAGCCCCACGTATACATCATTCACTCCAAATATGATTAGTGAAGCAATAGGAGATGTACCATCTGAAAATGATGACTTCTGTATTCTTTTTGCACCAAAAGCTGTTGTCTCTGTAAGAAACATTTAATGTTACTAAGATAGTTTGAAAGTGTAATGCAGAAAAAAAATATATTTAGTTATCCTTTGCATAACATTCTAAATTATTTTGCCTGCTTTTGCTATGCAGTGTGATACAGAGAAATAGATTTTTCCCTAGTTTGTGTAAAATGTAACTGCTTCTTGGTTACATGTTATCAGTGTTGTTTTAAGAAACAGAAATTTTATAAACAAAAATCAGCACTGTGTATTTTAAAAATCCTTGAGCAAGACAAACAGTATCAGTGAACACAAGATCTTTATTCATATATTTGGAACCATATGAAAAGTCTAAAATATTGGATAGCCCAAATGCTTCAGATGTGCTGGTCTCCAGCTTCATTTGGTATTTTGGAGGTACATTTTTACTTTGGTTTTCATTTGCTGTGCAGTTGAACATAACAGATATCATTATTTCTTTGCACATTAAGATGTGTACAAGTACATCTTTCTCTCCATTTAAGAATGTTTCTTTTTAATCAGCTAGGAATTGATATTTCTACCTTACTTCCCTCAGTTCCTGTTTAACATAAGTAAAATTGGTTGTTTTTGACAAAAGCTTGTGCCGTTTTATAATAAAAAGCTTCAAGACGCCATTAAATAGTCCTTTCTATACCACATGAGATGATTTAAACTCAGACAATTGGATTCTCCCTATCTCTCCCTCTATTTGCCAATGGTCCCCACAACCACTGAAAATGTGCTTGAGGTTTCCCAACACTGTATTTTGGGGAAAGTACGCTGGAAGTGAAATAACTTCTTCCTGGTTCAGATTATAGAAACTGTTCTGAAATCAGAAAAAATATAATTGGATCTCACCACTGTAAATCCAATTCTAATTTTGTCTCTTTAAAGGTTAAGGGGACTCTTATTCAATATCCTGTGTACACTTAATATCTTGTGACCTTTTAGGATAAGGAAGAAGAGCCAGTAGTGAAAAAATTGGTTGCTGAAGCAATCCTGGTAAAAGACAACCATTTCAGCCTGCCTTTAAGAAGAACAGACACAAACAAAGGGCTGTTGCGCTTTCCTGTGCCGTTGATTCGCTATGTTGTGAAAGAAATATCACTCATTTGGCACCTTTATGGGGGGAAAGACTTTGGGATTGTACCACCTACATCTCCAGCTAAAAGCTACATGTAAGTCTTCCAGGTATCAGTTCATTACCTTTTTGAAAAGTAGCATCAATTTTGATCCTAAGGTACAAAGTGGAGGTGGGGAGGGACTCCATCTTTTTAAAAATCAGTTCATTTATACAGATTCAATCCCAATCACTTCCAACATCAATTGTGTTTAAGAAAGTACAAAGTGGTTGCTTGCAGAATAAACTCAATTCTGATTGTCATTTCAGATTGGGATTCCTTTAAAACCTGGGGCCAGTTTTACTCATCTGCAAGTATAGCAAAGATAGGCACCATACCTAACAAATATATTCTGCAAGTTGTAAAATTTTCTTAATAATCATACAGTGTTTACCCATCATGTTGTTGCCTCCATACCTTTATACAGTTACTTAGTCACTAGCAAGAGGAAAGGTTGCTCCAGGAAACAGTATCAGCAAGTTCAATATCCTTTTCTTTTGCATGGAGAATGAAAATATGAAGTTGTGGAAAAGGACAGAAAATTTCAATTTGTGTCTGTAAAGTTTTTTCTGTGAGCCAAACACTAATATTAGCAAAAAAAAAAAAAGTCATAATCTATCTTTTACTTCAGTAGTCCTCAGAGTTCGCCTTCGCACACACCAACAAGACATGGACGTAGCACAACCTGTGCAGGAAGAGGAAGGAACCCAGATTTCTTGATGGAAATTCAGTTAAGCAAGGTGAGAGCATAAATGATGTAGTTACCATTGCAGTTTATTTCTTCTGATTGTATATTTTCCAGTTGTTATTGGAGGTGTCACCCCATCTCCCTATTTGCCTCCCAAACCTTCTTGTGTATCTGATGCCCGTTCTGAATTTCCCCCAAATTCTCATGTTAGATTTTAGTCAGTGTTCTTCTAATTGTCCTGCTACATAATTGTGGACATTAAAAGCCCTGTAGATTCAAATCATTATGGGGTGGCAGGATATACATATTCTAATAATTCTCTGTCTCTGGTTTTATAAGGTGAAATTCCAGCATGAAATATATCCATCAAGTGAAACAGAGGGAGAGATGAGCATCTTGGAACAACCAGTGTCCCGTCAAGTGTTTGTGGTTCAAGATCTTGAGATCAGAGATCGTTTGGCTACATCACAAATGAACAAATTTCTTTATCTCTACTGTAGTAAAGAGATGCCCAGAAAAGCACATTCTAATATGGTAATATTTTAAAAAAATAATTATAATTGTAATAATAATACAGAAGTAATACAAATCTTGATAGCCATTCCGCAAGGCTAAGTAGAACAGATAGTGATAGTCCACTTAGATTTTCACTCAGTATAATCTGTTCTGTTTTCTTAACTTTACCAATCTCAGTTCCACACTTTTCTGCCACTTGTGTCCAGAGGTTTTTTTTCCTCCTCCCTCCCCCTTCGCCCCCCACCTGCCAGGAACAGTTGTATGGTGAATGCTATAAATGTGTGAATGAAGAGCAATTAGAATATGTGTATAGGTAAAGGTAAGAAAAAAGGTAAAGTTTTCTTTTTGACATTAAGTCTAGTCGTGTCTGACTCAGGGAAGTGCTGTTCATCTCCATTTCTAAACCAAAGAGCTAGCGTTATCTACAAGGTCATGTGGCTAGCATGACTGCTTGGAGGGCCTTTACCTTCCTGCAGAAGCAGTACCTATTGATCTACTCACATTTGCAAGTTTTCGAATTGCTGAATTGGCAGAAGCTGGGCCTAACAGCATTTCCCGGATTCAAACCACCGACTTTTCAGTCAGCAAGTTCATCAGCTCAGCAGTTTAACCCACTGCACCACCAGGGAGCTCCTGTTTTATTGTGTATTTGTATAGTGTCCCAGACATTTGACTGCAAGTCATCTATGAATAAACTGATGATGGGATGTGTCTAAGCATGAATGCTTGAACCCAAGGCAGGTTCCTGATTACAAGACAGTTGTGAGGACATGCAGCTGAGTTCACTAACAAGCCCTTTCTTAGATCACACTGATCATACAAAGAACTGTGAGGTAGCTAGAGACACTTGGGTGCACAACATGTGTGTTCAGCACATATTTCGCATCCAGTTCCTAACTCGGCTTGCAAATTGCCAGTTCAGGGCTTAAATGTGTCAAGTTGTGTCTGCCCTGCACTAGGAATTGAAAGGCAATCTATGTACAACTGGTCACTATACCTTGTATTGTGTTTACAACTTTCCTGAAAGGTATGCATCAGAAAATTGTCCAAGAGCAAATGAAATAACAGTATTGAACTAAAGTATCTTGGTGTGCAGTAATGGTTCTAGAGAACCTAAGATTGTCTTTGTCATTTTCAGATTACCCTAACAGTGGATGCACTTGACTAAATTGATCATGTTTAGGATCACAATATTTTTAATGATTGGAAACTTTGGAAAATATTAGAACTATTTTTTCTATTACTTGCAGTGGTAATAACTACAGTCCTAATAGTGCAAATAGTTCGCTATACTAGGTGTGGAACATATACTAATTATAGTCTTGATCATCATGGCTTAATATCTGGGTAGATTTAAATTCCCATTAATGCATTTATGTGGTGCTGATTTTGAGCCCATATCCACACAGATTAGAAAGTTATCAGCAGCATATGTAAAATTATGTCTGTATTGAATTATCTTCATATCCATAATGTATATTGGAGTAAATATTACTTGCACTCTATGTGTGCATACCCACACATGTGTATGTAACATTTTCTTTATGAATTTTCACCCTCATTGAGCTTTTCTTTTTTTGCTTTCTTGGGATTCAGTTGACAGTGAAAGCATTGCACGTTCGTCCAGAGTCAGGCAGGTCACCACAAGAATGTTGCTTACGCGTGTCATTAATGCCACTTCGCCTCAATATTGACCAGGTAGGTTTTCCAAGAAGTGACTTATAGAAAACACAAAATAAGTATAAAATTGGTGCGACACAATTGTCTATTAATTACTGCTTGAAAAGCAAATCATTTAATCCTTGCTTAATTATCTTTTCTGATAAATGATTATCTATTTTATTGTCAAAGGCTTTCATGGCTGGAATCACTGGGTTGTTGTAGGTAGTGACCTCACTAGCTCTGAGGATGCTTGCCATAGATGCAGGTGAAACATTGAGAATGCTTCTAGAACATGGCCATATAGTCCGAAAAAACCTACAACAACCCGATTATCCATTTTGTTGACTTAATTTATGTATTAAATGTATTGTTTTATTAATACTTGCTCTTATTGTATTGGTAAGGTTACTGGGATGGGGAACAAAAATTATTTCCGAACCATAAGTAAAAAATTTAACAAAATTCCTTTCAACCAAAAAACCCCCCAAAGGTGTGGGTGAGGCCCCTTCCACACAGATGTATAAAATCCCACATTATCTGTTTTAAACTGGGTTATATGGCAGTGTGGACTCAGATAACTCAGTTTAAAGCAGATAATGTGGATTATCTGCCTTGATATTCAGGGTTATATGTCTGTATGGGAGGGCCCATAATTCCAATTGTTGTTTTTTTGGCCTCTGCCTTTTTTGAGATGTCACAATTAACTGTTGATAATCATTAAAGAAATAGTTATCATCGCAGGCAGGTTATGTGTGAAGGGAATGTCTTCCACAGCTGTAAGCACTTCATTTTTTTGCTGTTTGTATAGAGATGATTTACCCCACTTTTCATAAACTGCAACAAAGGAACCCCCCAGGCAACAACAGCCAGGTTTGAAGTGGCAAGGCCATTAAATGCTAATCAAGGTGGCCAATTGCAACATTCACACTTGTCTGAGGCAGACAAGAGTTCTTTCTCCCATCCTGGACATTTCACTGATATATAAACCCTACTTGCCTAATTTCCAACAGACCTCACAACCTCTGAGGATGCCTGCCATAGATGTGGGTGAAACATCGGGAGAGAATGCTTCTGGAACATGGCCATACAGCCCAAAAAACTCACAGCAACCCAGTGATTCCAGCCATGAAAGCCTTCAGCAACACATTATTTATATTAATGGCAACAAAGCAAATTTCTTTTTTATGCTTATACAGAAACACAAAAAGTAATTGTATCAAATGATGATGGAAAAGACTTTCTATTTCAAACTAACACATGCTGTTTATGTTGTAGGATGCTCTGTTTTTTCTGAAGGATTTTTTCACTAGCCTATCTACAGAAGTTGAAGTCCTAATGACCCCAGACCCTGAAGGTAAATATTCTGAGATAAGCACTTCCATATCATATTTTAAAATTATATACATAACAAGTGTCATGAAGTCATATTCGTAATTACTTTGACAACAGATCCACTTTCATCGAATGCCTTGGATTTCAACATGATTTTATTTATTTTCAGTTAAAAAGCCTCCTGGTGCTGAAGTAACTTGCAGCTTACCTAGGCATTACAGTGGTTTCAAGGAACCGAGTCCCGTCATTTCTTTCTCTCTACAAAAAGAGTCAAGTCAAAATGGAAGCGTTGATTCTGTGGATGTGCTTAATGGTGATGACCATAATTTTGCACATGAAGAGGCATCATTCAGTGATCAGCCAATCTTTTTCAGGTACCTTGGGACATCTTGGATTGACACAATCTTTAGAGAAGTTCTCATCTTCCTTCCTTTTGTTTATTTTATGAAGTCTTTTAAGTTCTGCAGTTCAAAATACAGTTGGCTTCCATGCAGTATCCCATAATCTAGAATACTGCTTATGTTGCCTGTATGTGTATGTGTACACATTAGAATCACATAGAATCACAGTTGGCAGCAAACACAAGGGCCATCCAGTCCAACCCCATTCAAGGCTCTCCTGACAGATGGCCAGTCAGTCTTTGCAAAAAAAAAAATCTCCAGAGAAGAACATTCCACCAGACTCTCAGGCAGCATGTTCCACTGCCAAACAGCTCTTAACTGTCAGGAAATTCTCTTAATGATTAGGTAAAATTTCTTTTCCTGTAATTTAAATTCATTTTCCCTGTCCTAGATTCTGGAGCAGCAGAAAGCAAGCTTGACTCCTCGTCATTCAGACCTTCTCACACATACAGGAGAAGGGCCAGTTAATTAAAGTTGAACACCTCTATGACTTTAGGGCACTGTTTTAAGATAAGTTAATAAACCAGTAGTCCTGAAAATGGACATTTAGTAGAAGAGGTGGAACAGAGACAAAAAATAAGCACCAGGAGGTCAAGGATATTTTTATTTTTAGTGTGTTTTTGTCAGGATTTTTGTATTTTATGATGTCTTTATTTTTTTTCTATTTGTTTATTAAGTTACAGTTAAAGTAAAGTATAGTTTTCCCCTTGACATTAAGTCTAGTAGTATCCAACTCTGCGGAGTGGTGCTCATCTCCATTTCTAAGTCAAAGAGACAGCATTGTCTATAGACACCTCCAAGGTCATGTGGCCGGCATGACTGCATGGAGTGCTTTTCCTTTCCTTCTGAAGCAGTACCACATTTGCATGTTTTCAAACTGCTAGGTTGACAGAAGCTGGGGCTAAAGTGGGAGCTCACCCCACTCCCCAGATTTGAACTGCTGACCTTTTTGTCAGCAAGTGCAGCAGCTCAGCAGTTTAACCCACTGTGCCACTGGGGGAATCAAAAAGGAAATCAAACGCAAAAGATCTTTCCTTACCGCCATATTTTTTTTTTGTTTATATGAAATTCTTGCTTACCCTTCTAATCTTATAGTTGATCAAGAGGAAAATTGTCCTGATTAAACTATTATTTCTCCATAATTTCTGGGTTCCTGGACTAAGCCTTTCAGCTCCTTTAACTGTAAGGGTCCTTAACTATCAGGTTTGACTTTTCTACGACCTCTTTTCCTCGCTCCGATGATATGCGCTTGAGCTATGTTGCTAACTCAGATCATTGTTAGGTAGAGAAACACTTCAGAAATAAAAAAGCAGCTGTTTTACAACAACTAAAATTTTACACAAATTGGTTGAACACGAACATAATAGGGCTGAGGTTCCATTCTGTTTCTACCGAACAGTTTGCTGTATTTCTTACCAAAAAGTTAATTAAGGCTTGATTGTTTTTAATAGGGATCAGTGTATATCTGGAAATTTTTAGATCCCTTACCAATTTAGCAAATATCTGGAAGTCAGTAAAATAATACATTATTTAGGCATCAGAGATGTCATTTTTCTGAGTTTACTGCTTGAGGTAAAAATAGACTTGGATTTGATCTACCCATTTCCTAATCATGTAACCTTTTACCATTTTCTCTCTCTTTCTTTTAGAGAATTTCGATTCACATCAGAAGTTCCAATACGTCTTGATTATCATGGCAAACATGTTTCTATGGATCAGGTTGGCTTATGCTTGTTATGGTCTCCACTCATATTAGGCCTTTCAACTTTCAGTTAGCCATGTGCTTTTTCATGTCAGTTAGTCCAGTCTTTTTTGTTACTGCTTTTCTAATCTTCTTTAAATGTTAAATTGTTTGCAAAGAGGCATTATAAAATAGGTTTACAGAAGTGCAAGTTCCACAGGATTTTCACCAACCCATTTGCTTGCACTTACCTTTTTATGAATTTTTACAGAGTGTTTGCAAGTGTGAAACAAAGAGCATATATGATTAGGGAGAAGACACTCTATACCATTAAAAAAACTGCACAGTAGTTGTCTAAGTGTTAGTAGTTTGCTTTGGCAGTCTTATATTAACCAACAAAATAATCTACACTTAGAATTCTTCAGTAGGCTGTAGACAGATATTTGGTCTGCCTTGTTTATATGCAAAAAAAAAAGGGATAAGAACAATCAGAAACGTAATTAGAGGATGTCTTCCAATTGGCTGCTTATGCATTTTAGATTACCGTATATACTCGAGTATAAGCCGTGTTTTTCAGCCGTTTCTTTAGGCTGAAAAAGTCCCCCTTGGGTTATACTTGAGTTTAATGTATTATTTTATTCTGTTATTATTATTATTATTATTATTATTATTATTATTATTATTATTACATTCATTATTTTACTCTATTATTATTATTATTATTATTATTATTATTATTATTACATTATTTTACTCTAATATTATTACATTTATAATTTTACTCTATTATTATTACATTTATTATTTTAATCTCTTTATTATTATTGGAAGGATACTTAAGCACATTTCCGTTGAAGAATGTTAGAATAATGATTTAATCAGAGTTGGACATTCTTATCTTATATTCAAAAATATTTAACCTACTGATGCATCAATTAATGTAATTTTATTGGTGTTGATTTTATTTTGAAATTTACAAGTAGCTGCTGCATTTCCCACTCTGGGCTTATATTCAAGTCAATACCTTTTCCAAGTTTTTTGCAGTAAAATTAGGTGCCCCAGCTTATATTTGGTTAGCTTCTGCTCAAGTATATGCAGTAACTTTACCTTTTTAACTCCCAGGGTACATTAGCTGGAATCCTGATTGGTCTTGCTCAGTTAAATTGCTCTGAACTGAAACTGAAGAGACTTTGCTACCGACATGGGTAAGTTTTCTCAGTTGTTTTAAGTTAATCTCATGTTGTGGCAAAAACCAACAGAGAATCATAGGACAGGTAAAGTAGTACATGTATAATGAAGGAGAAACAAAGTTGTTGACTAGAATTGTAACCAATATGTGAAATGATCTTTAAAGTTGACGACTTTAAACTCAGTTGATTTGAAATAAATGACTTTTAAAAAACAACAATAATGCATTTCAAGCATTAAAACATGGTTAATTTAGCTTTCTAATATTTAAAATAAAATTCTACAGTACAAATGTAATAATCAGGATTCAATTTTTTTTATTAAATGCAAAAACAAACAAGCAAACAAACCTGGTTTAGACAACAAACAGTTTGGACCAGGCATGGGCAAACTTCAGCCCTCCAGGTGTTTTGGACTTTAACTTCCACAATTCCTAACAGCCTATTTATCATTTATTTATTCACTGTATTTATACCTCGCCCTTCTCAACCCCGTAGGGGACTCAAGGCAGCTTACATATATACAATATATAAAATCACGCAATCCAATATCATAGTCTGTGGCCGTTCCAATTTATCGTTGCACTATTTCATCTTATTTCACTGATAGAATGCTTGGATGAACACCCACGTTTTTAGCTTTTTTCTACTTGCAGTTAGGAATTTTAGGAGTTGAAGTCCAAAACACCTGGAGGGCCGAAGTTTGCCCATGCCTGGTTTAGACCAAGGGTCCCCCCAAAAAGGCTCACAGGCTGGACATGGCCCTCCAAAGTCATTTACCCACCTCCACCCTAAGATTTAGGGTCACCCTAAGTCTGAAACAACTTGAATTCAGGCACACAACAACCACAGTCTGAATTAACTTGATTATTTCATCAACCAAAAGCAGGCACACACTTCTCATTGAAATAGAGTTTTAAAACTTTGAGGATCGCAGGTTTAGACAGAAAATATTAAAAAAAGAAATAAATGCTCCCACAACCTTTGTTCTTGGTGTTTTCCTGTTTTCATTTTCAGGTAATTAATTAATCTTTGTTTTTGTCCACACTAATAAGCCTACTTGTTGCAGGTTGCTTGGTGTGGATAAGCTCTTTTCATACGCCCTCTCAGAATGGCTTAATGATATCAAGAAAAACCAACTGCCAGGTATTCTCGGAGGAGTAGGACCAATGCATTCACTGGTTCAGTTAGGTAAGTTCCTACAGCAGTCTTCAAATCTTTTGATCTTACTTGGAAATTTGAAATTTAACTCTATATATGGATATTTTTCCTGGAAAGTACTTTGCTAGAGTTCTTATCCACGACGCTGTCTCTGTAATTACAGTTCAGGGTCTAAAGGACTTGGTGTGGTTACCAATAGAACAGTACCGAAAAGATGGCCGAATTGTAAGAGGCTTTCAGAGAGGAGCAGCTTCTTTTGGCACTTCGACTGCAATGGCCGCATTAGAGTTGACAAACAGAATGGTCCAGACCATACAGGTATATTTTCTTTGTATTTGGGGGAATACACAAAAGTGGCCTAATTTTGAGGCTTTGGTGTGGTTGTAAATAATATTGAATATTTAGATATTAACTTAAACCTTGAATTACATGTCGTTTCGTTTGAGCTTCTTTATAGCCAGTTTTGTACACAACGTTTAAATAAACATGGAAAGCAAACTACAACATTAACTTGGTATACTCTGAATTCAGTAATAAACTTAGATAATATTTCTCTTCTTATTTGGGAGAGAGAAAAAGCATGACCTTCTTCTGTTTAAAATTGCTGTTCAGATCCAAAAGAAGGCCATATTATCAATTCTATACTGTACTCTTTTTTTAAAAAAAAATTCATGCTCATCACTAGCAAATTGTCCATTGGTTTGATGGCAGTGTGTATAAGAAATGGGTTTATTTAGTCCTACCCCTTGAACTACTTGTTTCCATTCTGAGTCCTCCTTTGGATCACTGTATGGGACATATGATGGAAGCTAACATTTTAGATATCAAATATATTAATGTGATCACTGACACAGTTTTTAAGATTAACTTACTTTTTAAAAGCAAGTATTTATTTATTTATTTACACAATTTATATCCTACCCTTCTCACCCCGAAGGGGACTCAGAGCGGCTTACAAGTTATATATACATACAATATATTATATTATTAGCATAGCACAATATTAGTATTATATATTACTATATTGTTCTATACCACTATACTGCAATATTATTAGTAATATTACATGTAATATAAAATATATAATAATTATTATATTGTATTATTAGTATTATATTGTATTACAATATTATGATCAATATTATATGTACATGCAATATATGTTCATTATTAACATAGCACAATATTAGTATTATTTATTACTATATTACTATATATTGTAAAATTGTATATTACTATATATATTATACCACTATACTGGAATATTATAAGTAATATTACATGTAATATATAATATACTATTATTATATTATATTATTATTAGTAGTAGTATATTGTATTACATTATAATATTATTATCAATATTATATGTATATACAATGCATTATATTGTTAGCACAGCACAATATTAGTATTACATATTGCTATATTGTTGCTGGGGGGAGGAGCTTCCAACTGATGACCCAGGAGACATGGAACTGTCTTCCTGGCTCCTCTTCTTCACTCTTTACAAGTAGTATCCTTGTAACTTTTATGATCAGTATGTATGATTTTTACTGGAACAACAAATGTGGTGTTAAGAGTGCTTTGTTTTTAAAATTCAAACTGAAACTTAGGCCGCTGCCGAGACAGCTTATGACATGGTTTCTCCTGGACCTAGTTTAATTGAAACAAAAAAGATCAAACGCCTTTCTCGCTACCGTCTGGCTCATCAGCCTGTAGATCTTCGAGAAGGGGTGGCCAAGGCATATAGCGTTGTGAAAGAGGTAAGGAAAACACTATTGTCTTCTGACTTTTTGCAATACATTTGTTTCAGAGTCATGTGACATGGAAGATGTCAGTGTTGTGATTTGCAGATTATATTAAGCCAGTTATTCTGTTTTATGATAGGGGTAAATAAAGGGGAGAGTTAGAGAGCTGCCCACATCAAGATTTTTTTTCTCCCCAAATGTAGTCCAGGGCAGTGTTTCCTAAGATGAATAATGCGGGTGATTATTTGGCATCTATCTTACCCCTACATGTCCCAAAGACCAGTTCCATAATTGAGCTTGTTGGGTACAGTTGTTGGTTTCTTCTCCTATCCAGTGACTAGCAGCAGATGATTTAGGGACTCATTTCCCAGGCCCCCTTTTGGTGCAATTGGTTAAACCACTGAACTGCTGAACTTGCTGTCTAAAAGGTTGGTGGTTCGAATCTGGGGAGTGGGGTGAACTCCTGCTCTTACCCCAGCTTCCACCAGCCTAGCAGTTCAAAAACATGCAAATGTGAGTAGATTAACTGGTACCGGTTCTGCGGGAAGTTAACGGCGCTCCATGCAGTCATGCTGGCCATATGACCTTGGAGGTGTCTGCGGAAAACGGCGGCTCTTCAACTTAGAAATGGATACAAGCACCACCCCCCAGAGTTGGACACAACTAGACTTAATGTCAGGGGAAACCTTTTTACTTTCCCAGAACACCACTCTGTATAATATTGTTCAAAGCAGTGAGGGGAGCAATTTTGCTACATTTTTGAATACTCCCTCAGGCCATTTTAGCCCAGCAGAGGCCTTCTTTACAACTTCAACTTTCAAGCCACCGTTCTCTTAGGAAAGATCTCTCCTGGGCTTTAAATAGTTGTGCAGGGATGTAGCAAAATTCCCTGTTAGGTCTGATAGAGGGCATTTGGAGACTATTCTTTTTTCTCCTTGGTGTCACAAAAATGGCCATGGAGACTGCATGGGGCTCAATCCACACCTGTAGTAGCCTTGATTTTTGACCAGCAAGTAGGTGAAGGTAGAAACAAATTACAGACCTCCTGTCTGTAGTTTATTTAATTCAAGGTTGAACATTAGTAATAAGTTGGTCTAGAAACCTGTTTTCTGTCCTGGAACACTGAGCGTGCCATGCAGACTATCAAATCACCAAACTTGGGGAAAAAAATAATACCCACTTTCTTGGGCAGCCATCTGAGAGGCATGGATGGTTTACACTCCTATTTCACATTGACTGTCCTTGAAATGCTGTCAGTCTTTCCTCTTGGCTGCTGATCATTATGCTGCATCTCCATTCCTTCACAGGCTCCATTGCAACGAATCGATGCTGTTTAAAATCATTGCTTGACATCTTGTGTCTTTATTTAACTTGTCACCAGCTGTGCTTGGCCTATTCACAAAGTCAACAAGATAATTGGCCAGTGCAGCTCTGCTAGGTGTTCTGTTTCTGATCTGTGGGAACACAATGCCAATCCTGTTGCGCTACAGTGGGTGATTGGGCCAGGGAGAGAAGTATGGTTATGTAATGTAATGTGTATGGAACGTTAGGACCTAGAAAACCTAACTCCTTGAAATGGCAGACAGCAAAGTGATTTCACTCAAGGAGACTTGGCAACTCCACTCACCCTATTTTGTGTTTTTGTAACTTTCTAAAGGGGATTACTGACACAGCCCACACCATCTATGAAACTGCTGCTCGCGAACATGAGAACAGAGGAGTAACTGGAGCTGTTGGGGGTGTTCTCCGCCAGATTCCACCAACAGTGGTGAAACCTCTCATCGTTGCCACAGAAGCAACATCGAATGTTTTAGGTGGCATGAGAAACCAAATCAGGCCTGATGTGCGCCAGGAAGAGTCTCAGAAGTGGCGCCTTGGAGAGGACTGATAGCTTAAACATGCTTGAGCCACAGAGTTTGGGAATCCATCTTATCCTCATGGCAGTTTTAAATGGGGCATATCCTTTTATTATGCTTGTTTATCTCAGGAACACAGGAGATTGTAAAGCTATTTAATGTCAAAAATGAAATTTTTGAGTAGAGAACAAGCTTGGTAATTGTTGATGTAGTTCATGTTACCAGTACCTGCTGGTCTGTGCCAAATGGAATGGCATATTTTGTTGCCAAATCCACAATATGCTGGTTTTAGACTGGATATACTATATTGTTTTTCGACATCAGGGACTTTTGTTTTTCTTTTAAAGAAAACCTATTTCCCCTATTTACAAGTCTGTATTTGTATCTAGAGGGATTCCATGAGCATGGTTGAACGCTTTTTCGTAAAATCGGTTCTTTTCTGGAACAGTAGACATGACAGTAGATATGACATGAAGAACCTAGATGCTACAGGATGTTAAAAAATAACTGGGTTCTCAATTATTTTGCTGGCTGTGAGTGTTTGCCCCTTCTGTGGCAACTAGTAATGAGGACAATCTGACTTGGTCAAAAATTGTTTCCACACAATTGTGAATATTGAATTGTTTCACCTACGTGTTGACTTCTCCTTGTGTGGAAACTGGGGCAGTTTGAATGTTGCAGACATGTTCTGTTGTGTTGCACTTTAAAGAATTTAGCCTGTAACTTGCTTTTTTTTAAAAAAAAGTTAATAAAAATATAATGTGCATTTTTGCCTAGTATGGTTTCAAAACCTATGCAAATTATTTAAAGGGAAAAGACACATCAAGTTTATCGATAACAAGGAAAAAGAGTCACCTGAAAGTTCAGGTTGCTGGACAACAAAGAGTATCCAGTGAGTGACTGGTTCTTCACATGTGTGCAATTGTCCTGTTTGAGAGAAGAAGAGAGGTTGATTGTGAAAGAGATGCCAGCTGTTGTCTGTATTATGACTATATGGTGTCAGTGCTATGCAAGGTTTGTCTTATTTAATCTGTCTTTTCTTTGGAATTTTCATTTAAAAGAACAGATTTACAAACTTGTTCAGATATCAGAACAGTTTTAAAGTTGCTATTTTGCTGTGACCTCTAAATTAAGTTGAATACTAATTTGGGTTACTACTTGTTCTCAGTTCTAACTTTTCTGTTTTGGTTCGGCTACAAGGCTCTGAAATAACATACAGGAGGTCAATGGAATAACTGCTGGAGAATTTTGTTGTGAAGCAAAAAAGTGCTGTAGCATGGGAAATGACAGTGAATAACTAGCAGTTTGTTCACTATACAATTTCTGCATTCATGGGCCTGTTACCATAAGTAAAGAAGGGCTTTTGTTAAAGTGACTCAAAGAAAGAGACTGTACTTTGTTTGGGTGGTGGAGACAAGTGCTTGTACAGAAAAGAACAGCCAATAATCTCCATGCTGGAAAAAATTAAGCTAAAATGGTGATGCAGTAATAGTTGTGCATTTCTAAATTTGTACCAGATTGTGATTTTTCTCCATCTTCTGTTTTCTTTTAAGTGTAAGCTCTGTGCTTTCATTTTACCTGTAAAAGTCCATCCCCACCCCCCAGTTTGATCTGTTTTGTTGACAGATTATTTTAAATTTAAGATGATTTTGTTGTGTATCTATTCCTGGTTCTTTGTATTTGAAAACATCCAAAATCCAAGGATGGAGGGTTGTCTAATGACATTTAATATGAAATAATTCTCCAGTTTACAATAATGGTAACTGCATTAACAATGCAATAATGTGTCAGATATAAGTCTCTTAGAGTCCTTTTACTGGTGCGTGACCATAAACACTTTTGTGTGTGTGTGTGTGTGTGTGTGTTGAGTGCTGCTTTGGCAATATTTGCTGATTCAATACATTAATAACCAAAATGGATGGCCCGCTCTGCCACAGTGGTCCCATTTGAAGGTTTTAATAGTCAGATCGCCACCATGTTGGGAGGGCTTCCATTTAAGGGCATGTATTATTGTATAGTTAACTCAAAGTAATTAATATTTCAGAAATTGCAGAAGCACTTGGCTTTTTGTTGCCACTTCCAACAAGAACATGGAAAGAGCTCTTGTAGCACTTTAGAGATTAGTTAAAAGAATTACATTGGTAGCATAAACTATCGTGGACTTAAATATGCATCTGAGGAAGTGAACTTAGTCAACGAAAGACTTATGAAGTAATTCCATGCATCTGAGAAAAGTAGACAGCCTACAAAAGCTTAAACTACCAACTTTATTCTCTCATTTAGTCTTTAGGGTGTTACAAGATCTCTTTACATACTTGATATTCCAGACGAACACGGTTATGTCTTTGAGTTTTCACAATAACACGTCGTGAATATTAGCATTTCTGTTGTCAATTTCTCATCAGGGGCTTCCTTTGCTATTTTTGATGTTTTGAAACTGACATTGGAGCAGCAACTGTGCTGGTACTTTATGCTGACTTCTTATTTCTTGTGCACTAGGGAAGCAAAGAAAAAACAATTCTGTAAATGTCTTGCTAATATGGACTGCCCACATTTTTCAGTACTGTAGTGGGAAAATAATGAAAGAAGATATGTTAAAATGACATTGACGGTGTATAAATGTACAGTACACTTTTTATTATACTACTTCAGCTGACAGTCATTCGTGTTCTAGGCTTCATGATACTAGACCATGTAGTTTCAGTTCTTTCCATTTCAAAAGCTTTGGATCACTCTGCTTCTAACCAGCTGGATTGAAACTCCCTCTCTGATCTAACATTGGTCACAGACATGATCAGTCTCTTGTGTTGAGCCATATGAGGTTAATATAGGGACAGTGTATGGCCCACTGGCTGCCTATCAGCAGCTAACCACTGCTCTTAGTTTGCATATAGGCATCCAGTAAGAGTCAACATGGTAATGTGGTTTGAGTGTTGGACTACAATTCTGGGAGACCAGGGTCCAAATCCCTGCACAACTGGGGAAACCCATTTAGTGACCCTGGACAAGTCTCAAAGCCTCAGAGGAAGACTAACCACCTCTGAATACATCTTGTCAAGACAACGGTAAAAGAGAGCTACCCTAAATCTGAATGAACTACAACATAGAAAAACAAAGAAGCCAGTTCCCAGACATGAATCGACTTAGATGAACTTGCACAGGCAACATAATTGCAAGCAAGTCTATACATATTTTAGATTCCAATTCAATTGGGATCCCAAGCAAGTAACGATGTTTTCAGTTCTGTGTTTCAAATTAGATAGCTAAATGTATTCCAATTAGAAAGTAGGTTTTCCATCAATAGATGTAGACTTGAAGAGCATGAATTTCACTGGAACTTAAGAACCTAATTATTAACATTTTACATTTTGTAATTTTGAAAGAGATATTTATTTGCTTTACTTCTATACCGCATTTTTCAGCCTAGATTAGGCGACTCATATGTCACTTGAAAGTGTAAAATATGAATGCTTACCTTCAAATCTGTTCTCATAGCTCCGTAGAACATTTGTTCCCCAGTGGTAGAAATAATAAGTCCGTATGGACAAAGTCCCAAGCAAGCACTTACTGTTTTTCACACAGTTGTTGTAACCCAGGAAAATACATGCCTAGATTAGTCTGCAACTATGTAAAATAATATTGCCACATGCTCACCAAGACTATAAAGAATGTGGCACATTGAGTTTTCCTTAACTGAAAGCTCCTATTTCCATTGGAGCTTTTTTTGATGATAGTTACCTTAAAGCCAAGGGATGGACAGAAGCATGTACTTAATGTAAATTTGAGTTTTACTATCCAATAAGCTATACTAGTTTCATGAAATATGATCCAAAGTCTCATGGGTTTGCTGTGTTTTCCTGTATAAGTGCTTCTCATAAGAGAAAATCAGGAAAGTCTGTGAAAGTGAAGCTCTGTGGACACTTCACAGATTATAGTTTTTTTTCACAGTCCTGAGGCACATTTTTGTAAATGTTTATTTCATCTCACATTTAAAATATGCTCAGTTTGTATTCATTTGTCATTGTATTATGACTATTAAACCATAAGCTAATTCCCTTGAAGTTCCATATGTTACACCAGAAGTAGCTGAGATAAAGAAGTGGACTCCATTTGAAATGGAATTGCCCTGTCAACCTGCAAATGTGATACCTATTTTTCTATTTTACTGTAGCTGTTGAATAGCAAAACACAGTTTAAATGTGTATTAAATAGCATCCTGGATCTCAGCAATAGTGTATTGCTATCAGTAGTAAAACAAAAACAAAAACATGCGGGTATCTGCACTCTTGGCTTTTCATTATAATAATCTTTGTTTCATGTATCACCAGCCTTCTGCAGCTTATGCTTCTGACAGCGGTTTCAGCTTGTTCCAAATACTGAATCGTGTTTACATTTTAGAATCAAGTTGGCTCATTAATAATAATCATGTACTTGTACTGGATTTCCAATAAAGGGAAAACCACATAAGCTAAAGATAGCTTAACAAAGAGGAACTGTTTGTATACATGTATATTTTTTACTTATGTGTCAAAGTTAGCCTTTTTGTGGTATGTTTTTGTATATAGTTTGCTAGCTCAGAACAAACTGTATAGTAGGATAAAAATGTGAAGGCTCTTTGAAGGGAAATCATTGTACTACCTTTTTCCTTGCTTTGCTGAGAACACATGCACTCACCCAAACTCGACTATTCTTACTATGGTCAAGTACCAATCTTGATGTATATTGAATGTCCAAGGCCTTACACAAATAAGATGTTCTGCTCAACTGGTGTATGACAGAAATAAAACATTCTAAACTGCCCTTTGTATGAGTGCTCTTTTGTAAATAGAATGTAGGAATTGCAAAAGATTATACTCTTTCTCTTATAGGGTCAAAATTAGTAAGAACTTATCCAGAAGAGGCATCTTAACCAATCTTCTAACCATGATTTGAACCATCCTGCTCGTCAGATTCCTACATATCAAACTTGAAAGCTCAAACAGCATGCTCAGGCAAACATATATGTACACTATAACATTAGTTGAACTTTGCAGACATGTTATCATTTGAGAACTAGGCAGTCAAGTGGTGAATGATCCAACGTGGACCATATGCCCATAAATTTCAGATTCTGTTGGAGCACACCAGAGACCGTTCATTCAGGCAGCAATTATCATGAGAATGTGTATGTGTGTGTACAGTAAGGCTCCAAGTACCTAT